ATTAATAATTTTAATTCTTACTGTTTGAATTAACGAATAACATTTTTTGGTATTTAGAATGTTTCATCATTCTTTACCTTTTGCTTTATATATATAGATAAAACAAAAGACATAAAATAGTAAAATATTCAAAATATCAGATGTTCTTAGTTAATGTAAATATTAAGAATTGAAATTATTAATTAAATGAGGATAATATAGTAAATTCACAATTTTTTTCATATTATATATTTAGATTATACAAGTTAAGCTAAAGTTGGAGGGTAGATGATCTCCCAAACGGCATAGGACGACCACGTATGCAACATTTAGAATGAAACCACCTAATCATGCTTTGTTTTTTTCCCTTTTAGATCTAAACTAATTGCTGAAGGATAAGATATCTGCTACACTAATAATTTAAGTATTGACGCAGAAAAAGTCATTGATATGTTGCTAGCTGATATGAAATGAAAGTTATTCGTCCCAATTCGCATGCTCTTATTGAAAAAGATAAGAAATTCAATTCCCTTTGGCGTCTAGGGGCAAACTTATCTCGAATATTGCTTACCTAAATATTGCACATCGTTCTTGAGCCAAACTTTTAAATAAGCTCGTAATTTCTAAAAGCAATTCCACTCATGACTTGTAAAATTATTATTCATCTGTTAACTTTTTTGCCAAGGATGTGATGTGACGGCATATTCATTGGAATGAAAAGAAATAAAAAATAAAAAATGATGTGCTGGCATACACCGCGTTTACACGATGAAATGACGCAGTAATTCATTGCTTGAAGGTACAAAATTATCAATGAATTAAAAAAGATTAAAAACTCTTGCTGAAAATCAGGATTTCATCCGCGCAGACGCAGAGACCAATGGGGATCTTGCATTGGTCTTAGGAAGTGGTATGTCCATCAGAAATGGTGCAAGAGAGGTTTGCTAATCCTACGAGCCGGTTACGCGATAAGGACAACAAAGCCAAAAGGATGAGCATAAACAACGGCGCTATCAGTTTGTTGTTTTTTTTTGGACAATGACGATACTTTAAATTTATTATAATGTACCAGTAGTGAATGTTTGAATATCGGTGCGAGAGGGCACACTATTTTAACCAACTAACCTAACTTATATTTATGTGTCCAATTTACACTTTACATCTTGTATTTGATACAGTGTCACTTAATATGACGTAAATGTCAAAAAGGAAGGAAACCTCCAGAAAAAGCATGAGAAAAGAAAACGTGTAGGCTGTGCTGAAAAAATGGTGTACAAGAGATGGATTAGAGTGAAGGGTAGGGTTTTGGTTCAATGATCCAACAGTAGGGAGGGTTTTGGTTCAATGATCCAACAGTAGGGACTTTAAGGGACACATAATCTCCAATCGTGGGAGATTGGGGACCACTTTAGGAAACAGCTCCAGTGCTCAACAGCCTGAGCAGCAGCGTACTGCGGCAAAGCATTATTCTGGTATTTTCTGTATTTCTAATTTCTGAAGACCGAGATGTCGTCAAAGCTTACAAAAGAGCCACCTCGATTTCCAACTTGTCTTCTTTCCTTTCCTTACACTCACCGCAGCAAGTAATCTCGATTTTCAGTCTCCACGCAGAATTTTTAAGAGGCGCATTGACGTAATGCTGATCATGACGACGCCAATTCTTTTATCTCTAAACCCCATTTGCATCGCAGGCTTTATTTATTCCTATAAAATGGATTGGGCCAGCCTCTATGTGAAAAGGCCCAAATTCAATCTGGTCCTTGATCATTTTGGCCCATAGAAAGGATAAACCTAACTGGGCTGAGCCTCGATGAAATCGATTTGGCCCAAACAGTTTGATTTCTCTCTCCCTCTCTCTCTGCATAAAATCATTTTTGTACATTAGGTTGTAGTTGTCTAATCTCAATTTGGTTCTCAAATTGTGAACCAAATTTTGCAGCAAATCCCATCGGCTGCAAGTGGAGCTGGAGAGTGGGTGGGTGGACCAAGCTATGATCTAGATATTTGACTCAAAGAAAATATTCCTAGTTGGTATATAGAGTATACTTAGCTACTATTCTTTGAATTGGAGATGAAGATGATGGTGATAATAATGATGGATGAAAATGTGCACACGTGGAATCCTTAAGTTTAACAACCGTGTAATTATTGGAGGATTAGAAAAAAGAAATTAGTTGTGACTCATGACTCGTGACTCGTGAGAGGGAAATGTATACCTCATGGCCCATTAAAAGAAATTAGGCTCTCTAAATCATCTTTTTAGACAAATTGTAGGGAGGAATTGGAAAAATACAACTCCAATCGTACTTCCTATCTACCTCCTAAAATAGAAAGACTTCTAGGAGCTCCTAAATTTGAGGAGAGAGAAAGAACTCTTAGTGGTTCCCTATAATATAATTTAATGCTGCTTTGTTTTTATGCATAGTTTAAAATAATTTTTGTGTGTTTTTAGCTAAATTTTAACTAAAAAATAAAGAACATAATTGTAGATACTCTTTTAAATTTTTTTTTTTGAGTTTGAGGGTTGAGATCGGTAGGATGAGGAGTTGGTGGCAGTCGGTGTCAATGCTGGTAAGTGTCATTTTAATTTGGTTCTTTACTTAATCATTATAGTTGTTGGAAATTGGAATGGTTGTGTTGGTGAAAAAAATACTCACCTATTCCTATCTAATTGTTCTTTTATTTACGTAACTATATTTACATCGTAGTTACGTAAGGAGAGAGATATAGAAAATAGACTATCAAATGGAGATAGTAAGTAATTTCCCCTTCTTAATTTCTAACCCTGTAACCCAAGTCATAATCCACAACTACGGCTCCATTTGTATTTGTATGTGTACAGTTTAATTTGCATGCAGATTGATGAAGCTTAACTTGTAAGTTGTGAGGTTGTCTGCCACTAAATGAAGGAACGCAGCTTAAACCATATTGTACGCAGCCAGCCAGTCTAAACTCCACAAGCTTGAGGCTACAGTCAAATTGATGAACAAATTATGAAACAGACAATAGAGGACATTCAAGAAATGAAATCAATGATGAAAAAGAAGCCAAAATAATGAGGAAAATAATAAAACGAAAGTTTTTTTGGTTTGATAATAATGAAACGACTTAGGAATTCAAAAGTGTCGGCAATGTTGTGATTAAGAAACTTATTATGCTTTGTTTGGTGGCCTGAACTGGATTGGATGTTTCAAATTACATGGATAGGAGTCCTAGTTATTTTTTAGTGGGACTAAATATGTCTCGGACTGGATATGAGCCTTGAATCCAAATCACAAATATGAATTAAGGGCCATGAAGATTTTTTATATATATTTTTTCGAATTTTCACTTTGTTTTATAAAATTATTTTCTAATGCCCAGTCCAGTCCGGTGTTGCACCAAACAGTGGATATGATTCTTGAATGTATAGTGTGGTCCCAACCAATCAAATCCAAGAATTGAAGTCTAATCCTATCATGTCTAGTCTTGGTCACCAAATGGGGCCTTATTAGGAAAAATACTTTGTAAAACGAGGATAATACTATTTTGTTATCCCGGTTAATTATTGCATGCTATGCATGATAATTTTTTTTACGTGGCAATTTGTGATTGGTTGGAGATACAAACAGTGCTCTCTCCATTTCATACAAGTTTTTCTGGAAAGACCTTATAAAGTCAGAATTAGATATCTATATATATAAAACAAAAGGCAGAGAATGATGAAATATTCAAAATGTCAGAAAATGTCATTGGTTAATGTAAACATTAAGAATTGAAATTATTAATTAGATGAGGATAATATGGTAAATTCACAATTTTTCATATTAAAAAAATTAAAAGTAAAAGAAAAACCAGATAATGGATCTTATTTTTATGGAACACAACTACCCATTATCTTTTTTAATTGTAAAATAAATTTTTTTTTTTAAAAAAAGCCTCTCGCAAGCGCAAAAACATGTGCAAAGAGGCTAGTTTAAAGAAATTAAAAGGATTTGTACTTTTATTATTTTGGAAAACAAAGGAAGAAAAGTTGCTGTTTTTTATTTTTTATTTTTGGAATTGTTTGCAAATTACAAGTTTCATGGCAATGGGTCGTGTCGTATCAAGATTATATATGTGTCAAGAATGCTAAATCCAAACCCAACCCGTTTAATAAACGTGTCATTTTTGGATTGACCCGTTTATTTCATGTGCGGGTTTCTGGTCATGTCGGGTTGACCCGCTAAGTGGTTGCAAATAAAAAATCTAAATTTTGATAAATTAATCAAGTAATTGAATTTTTTTTATATAAAATAATTATTGTATTTTGCCTCTCTCTATATATAAAGATTGAGAATGAGAAATTTAAAAAATTTTGAAAATAAAGAAAATGAAGAAAAAACAAAGAAATGGGTTGGTAGGTTACATATGTATTTTAAAGGATTGGAAGGTATATAGGAATTTTAGCGGGTTAGCAGGTTGACCTGTTTAATAAACGGGTTAAACAAATGTTAAACAAGTGTCGGGTGGACAAGTTACATATGTATTTTATCGGGTTAGTGGGTTATATAGGTATTTTAGCGGGTTAACGGGTTAACCCGTTTAATAAACAAGTTAAAAATGTGTTTTAACGGGTTTGCGAGTTGACTCGAAATGCACCCGTTTATAAACAGGTCACCAGCAAGTTGACCCAAAAATGACCAATTTTTTAATCATGCAGGTTCGTGTCGTGTTTTTTTCATGCTGGTTTCGAATTGTATAACGGGTCGTATCGGAAATTCCCACCTATCTAATAGTCATCAATCTTAATCTGGGATCTAGTTGCATGAGTATATGAAAAGACAAAATTGCCCCATATAATTGTTGTGAATGATAAATCATCCCGCCAATTGAAGGTAACCGTCGTACCAACTTCCCTCCGCCGGATTAAAGGCCATGTTACGCACAACTGTCATCCACAATTCTCTCTGTATAATTATTCATCAAAACGACGGCGTAACATTCCAAGCAAAACCAACCATCACATTCCTACGCGGGGCCCCACACGGCTAAATGCCCTCATGCAGCCAAACAGAAGAGCAGCTTCTTCTGACCAGCCTCTAAGGCCCGGTAAAAGTCAACAGATCGGACGGCAGCGGAGTGATCAGTTTGAAGACTTGACCCCGCCTCTAAACACAGAAACAAGGACGAGGTCATTTCCTTATCCTCCAACCTCGTTCATATTCACACGATTTTTAGTTTTTAGGACTCTCTCTCTCTCTACAACCTCCAACATTGTTGTTAACGTTGATCCAACAAATCTTAACCGTCCGCGGCGCCAACCCCATTTTATAATTCAAAATTTTGATTATAATTGGCATTTGGCAAAGCAAGAAGAAATTTTGGCACTGCCACTGGTGGGTTTGAATTCCCCATTTCAAATTTTCCTGCTAAGCACTCTCACATTTTTGTTGCTTAAAAATTCGAAAGTCTTCTTTTTTTAATGGTAAAACAGAGACCAAGTTGCTGACACGTCCTTTCCCACTTTTGTTTTTCCAATTTTGATTCATTGCCTCATTGTAACCATACCTCACTGCTTTGAATTCAATTCACTACTTTTGCTCTTTTTCTTTTTCCTGTTTGTGATAAGGTTATGTTTCTCTTCTTTCTTTTTGGGTTGTGAATTGTTGTCTTATATATCCTGCACCACTCTCTGTTGTACATGTCTGGTTTTTGTGTTTGAAACTTGACAACCGTACGTGCAGGTTTCTGGGTTTGTTCATTATGGCTTGGAGGAATCTGGGATCCCTATGTTCTTTTTGGAATTTCCGGAGTATCTTTCAGGTTGGTAAACTGAAAATACTTTTGTTGCTTTTTTTGTTTATATTTGTTTATTGCATTGGGCTAACGACTACCAAATTATAATTTGAATTTACACTGTCATCACTCTCATGCCGCTTTTGGCAGATTTTTACTTTATTGAGTATTGGTTATTATTATTATTAAAATTATTAACAAGTGTTACTCTTTTGGAATTATGTTCTGCAAAGAAGGGAAAAGAATAAAAAAAAGAAAGCATTTGGAACTGGAAGTTGTACACTTCTTTTCAGTTGCTCTTTTTCTTCATCTGTGGATGTAGTTTTAGAAATATCGTTCTCCAAATCAATATTGCCTCTTTGCCAAGGCATCTTTATTGAGAAGTGTTTTTAGTGGACCAAATGAAGTCATCAGTTTGTTTGTTCTAGCAGAGCAGAACCACAGAAATTGAACTGGGAACTCACACAATCAAATCTCATGGAGCTGCACTTGCAAAGAATCACATGCATGATTGGCTTATACTGCTGCTTCTTGCAGTTATAGAGGTCATCTTGTTCATCATTCAACCCTTCCACCGTTTTGTGGGAAAGGATATGATGACAGACCTTAGATATCCCATGAAAGGGAACACAGTGCCTGTGTGGGCTGTCCCTGTAAGTTTTCCCCTTTTTCTTTTAGTCCTACTTCCATTTCGAAGAAAGAACTTCTGCTTTAAGATCCTATGCCAATCATTTTACAATGATAATTTTTTCTTATTTTCTGTCTGAGCATTGTTTCATTTAGTTGTATGTATATTTGATAGCTGCGAGTGTATAGTGCTATGGTTAATGAGATTGATTCTTCTATTGATGCTCAGATGTATGCAGTTTTGTTGCCTATTGCCGTTTTTGTTTTGTTCTATGCACGTAGGAAAGATGTCTATGATCTGCACCACAGCACTCTAGGTAATCCAATTGTTTTTTGGTCTTTCCTTTAATTTTTATTCAACTTGAAACCCTTTTATTTACTAATGTCTCTATGCATTAATTTGGTTATATATCTATCTACTAGAGCAGGCCTCTTATTTGCTGTGCTGATTACTGGGGTTGTCACGGATGCAATCAAAAATGCTGTTGGCCGGCCTCGACCAGATTTCTTTTGGCGTTGCTTTCCTGATGGAAAAGATGTATGTTCCATTGGTTCCAAATCCTTGTTAGCATTAAATCCGGGAGTTCATTTTCTTTAGATAAATCCACATTAGACTGGGGGTTTTGGCATCAACTTTTTCTGTTTCTTTGCCTGTTGACTAATGCTACTAATTGACCTTTCAAGAGATCTAAAGTAAAGGAAGTTAGAGTTTTGGCCACCTAATCGTATGTTAGGAAGCTGTTGTGTGATGTTGGGCACAAACATAACACTCAAAATTTGTCATTTATATATGGGAATATGAGTTGCGTCGATTTTGATCTTTATCTATTTTTCACTACTGGTAGGTTTATGATCAGTGGGGAGGTGTACTGTGCCATGGTAAGGATAGTGACATAAAGGAAGGACATAAGAGTTTCCCAAGTGGTCATGCTTCATGTAAGAAATGCTTCCTGCACCATTATACACTGTTTCATTCAATTCGGATCCTTTTACTTCTACAAAAGGCAGCCTATAATAAATCCATTAATCTGATACAGTTTAGCATTGCTCTGCAGGGTCCTTTGCAGGTTTAGGCTTTCTCTCATTGTACTTATGTGGAAAGATTAAAGCATTTGATCGGAAAGGGCACGTGGCAAAATTGTGCATTGTCTTCCTTCCTCTACTTGCTGCATCTCTTGTTGGCATTTCTAGAGTAGATGACTATTGGCATCATTGGCAGGACGTGTTTGCCGGAGGCCTTTTAGGTTTGTTCATTCGCGATCTCTTTTCTCTAATACTTCAATTGTAAGAATGTTAGAGCTTTATACATGGTTCATATTTTGCAGGACTTGTTGTGGCTGCATTTTGTTACCGGCAATTCTTCCCTTCCCCTTTTAATGATGAAGGTTGCATAATTTTTCCTCCTTGCATTTCTTTTAGAACTGAATTAGATAGTTCAATTTTCCTAAATATTCTTTTGAATTCAGGATGGGGTCCTTATGCATATTTCAAAGCATTGGAGGAGACACGGAGCAATACACATGCGGCCAGTCCTGTAAATGCGCTCAGTGTGCAGGTGATGGGGGCTCAGAACGTGAATGAACGACGTGGGCAAAATGGGGATCCATTTGCAGCATTCTCCGCAGACCGCTATACAAGCATTAGGCTGGATGAAATAGTATCAGGGGAGAAGTGATATCTTTTGTAAATGTTGTTGCTTTGTTTAGGTCCGCGTATTGCTTGCTTGGAATATGTAGATACCAGTTGAAAGACAAACAGTGTAGACTAGAAGTTAGTTTTAGCACCATATACAGAGCTTAGTTTGATATTGATAGTTCTGTGAATCTATTCATGCATGCTTTATATTTCTTGGAACCACAAAATGAAGCCACACTTGCACAATGCCTGGTTGTGGAGTTCTGGTTGGCCTGACATTACTTCCTTGGATCAAACTATGCAATTTTTTTATTATGAGGAGCGATACAATGTCACGTAATGTAGGAAATGAAAGTATATAGAATAGAGTAGAGTACGGTATCTGGGAAGTAATCTGTAGTCTCTACGGTACCGAGTACCGCCTGTTTGAGTTAACTACTACTGGGAAAGGCAGATTATTAGTAACAGTGATGGAAGAAAACATCAGCTGTAAACTTGTAATAATTATATTAATAATGAGACATGCTAATCTGCTAATCCTTGGACCTTTGACCCCACGCTAGTTAAAGTTTAGTTGGCATGCCCTGATTAGGTCTCCATTATTCAACATTATAGTTGCTTTCTGAGCTGTTCACCCACTGCCAATTAAACATTTCCATATGAACATGGACCGATCCAATTTCTTGGTTTCTTCCATCCATTTATTTATCAAATACCAACCAATTATGAGGCTCCATATTGCCACTAGCTTCTCTTGTAATTTAATTTAAGTTTTAATCTAATCTTGTTTATCTTCTAATCCACAAATGGTCTGTTGCCACCTACTCTGTTCCTTTACCTGTGTAAAATAGTAAAGGTAAAGTACAAAGATGATTGAACAAGAAAAGAATATGGATTTTGGAGATGTATAGATATATAAAGAGATTGTTGACAAAGACTTGGCAACAAAATATGTGAAGCAAGCAAGAGAGTGAATGATAATTCGAATATTCAAGGGACAATTTAAGCACCGAAAAGAGCTCATCTTCACTTGAAAAACACATTGCTTTTTGCACGTTTCAATCCCATTTGGGTTGCGAGAGGGTCAATGGAGTTTTATTGCCTCCCTATGGCTAGTGGCCTGCGACCAATCTTTCATCTTTTTTAAATTCTGTTTGTATGTTTTGTTTTGTACATCACACAACCCTTTTAAAGGGCAAAGAGCAAATTTTAAAAAGAGTTTTTCTATTTAAACCCTATACTTCTCTTCACTCAAATACTTTTTATTTTTTATTTTTTATTTTTTATTTTTTAATGATAAGCGATCTAATACAAGAAGTTTGAACTCGTATCAAGGGCAAAGGAAAATCCTTGGTCACGAGTTACAATCATCGTACAGTACATTAGAAATAAAATCAGGAGGTTCTTTGAATCAGTATAGAGAACCCCCGATATGCAAGGCAAAATGCGCTAAACGATGAGCCACACCATGGGTAAAACCTTCTCCAGTGACCTGTGTCAGCAAGCTCCTGGTATCCTCCACCACTGGTCCTATGATAGACCTATCTATGGAGGGACTTCGAAGTGATGTAACGATCTGGAGAGCATCACTTTCAATGAAAACATTTTGAAAACCCCTTTCCATCTCCAATATTGTACCTGTTCTTGTAGCCAAAGCCTCCACTTGCGTCATTCTTGTAGCCAAAGCCTCCACTTGTGACGCAGAGAAAACATTAGTCAATTTAATTGCACAATCCACCACAAATTTGCCGGTGGAGTCTCTTACAACCACACTGACGCCGCCCTTCATGGTCCCTGGCTTCCAAGCACCAGCCACATTTATTTTAAGAGTGTTATCATGTGGTGGCTACCACATTTGTTTTATTTGACCCTGCCCACTTTGAGACCCAAACAATTATTAACCCGCAAAAAATCATGTAGCCTCAGAGATGCATGCAAGCTGACTTGTTCAGGCCTACTTGTCTTATTATTCCATAGTAATCCATTGCGTGCTTCCCAAATTGCCCAACCCACCATGAGAAAATTTGCAAAGTCATGACAGCTTAATACTTAACCCTAATACATCTATACACACACCTCACCATTATTCATATTAAGTTTTAGAAAAACACAAACTCTTCTACACCCTATTGCCAGATTACTCTTCTCTTTCAATCCAAAAAACTACTACACTCTCATCTTCTCTTCACAAACACTAATCTCAGCTTTGAATATCCATGATCTAATAAAGCCACAATATAGTTCACATGTACGGGGAAAAAGAAACTTGAGTAAAGGATGATGAGCAAGATCAACAACCTAAACAAAGAATAAATAAACATGTCAATGATGTGTCCATTAGCAGACATTTATGTTACTAGAATTTTTTTTTATGTCATTGCAGTGTCCATTACCATTAAGACAATTACAGCCATCTGAGGGGATGCCATAACAACAAACTTGAAAAAAAAATTTGTGAAATTTTGGGAAGGTAGTGGATTTTCTTAAAAATTGTGAAATTTTGAATTAGAAGTTTGGGTGAACAAAGAGAAGTATGAGATTTAAATATAAAAACTCTTTTAAAAAGTCTCAAGCAACCAAAAAGAAAAAAAGTTTTATAAAAATTTCGAGTTAGGTCAAGTGGTGAGGGAGGGTGAATACTTACGAAAAGAATGCCTTAGCTCGAAATGGAAATTAAAAAAGAAAAGATTTATCAATAAATTAAATCCCATGTTAAAAAATGTTAAAAAAATGCCTTAGACCGAGGTGAAGTCCTTTTCGTGGTAGATCTGCACACTTAGAACAACTATTAGGATAAGAGCAAACTATGGTTGATCCCAATTGAACTCCCTATGATGGTTAAGTTAGAAATAGTAGAAAAAGTGGAGAGAATGGATGTAGGGTTTTCAAGGTGATAATATTTAGGGAAATGCTAGGGAGACCAACTTTAGATACCAATTTATGTACTATCTCTCTAATAGAGCGTGAGATTTATTGTATTGGTGGGCTTCACCTCTATTAGAGAGATGGTACAGAAGTTGGTATCTAAAGTTGGTCTCCCTAGCATGACCCTAATATTTATTACTTTTGTCCAGAGATAGGTGGAGGGTATTTATAAGGGGAGAAGGAGAGACAAAGATATTGAATGATATATTTTCCTCTCCCCTTCCTCTGATGTGAGTTACATTAAATGCCCCGCTTCTGATCGCCATGCTTATTTGATTGGGATCAGGTGGCGAAGTGATATGCGGCATGGGATAAGAGGTGCATTAACTGATCTCTTTCCATCGCCAAGCTGTTGATCAAATTAATGTAGTGATTGATTCGACAGGAGGTCTGACTACGTCCGCCCATCATCAATGCGCCTTTGGCCTTACGACACCACCATAGTCGGGTCGGTATTTTGAGTGCCCGAGCGCCACCTCACCTTTGGTCTTGTCAAGTTCCAACTGGGAGGCTCTCTACCGATCTTCGAGGGTATCGAGTCTAATTGGGTCGGTGTATATGTAACCCGGCCCACCTACGACTACGCGGTGTTCTGCAATTGGTTCGGCTCATAGCAACAGTATAGGCCATTAACAAGTACTTTAGAAACCGCGTCATTTTTCTTTTTGCCGGTAATACAAGAAGCTTTGTGGAAGCCTGGATATTTTCATTTGAATCCCCAACCACTTTGTAGTAGATGAGATGTTAATGAATTGCAAATTATGAGGCTATATTCACGCCTAAGCATGCTATTATTTGTTTATTCTTTTCTTTTCTTTCTCATAAATAAGAAGTAATTTACAATGAATTGTGCATTACTTTTGATCGCTTTGAAATTTAGATTTATGTCACCATCCGCCGTCCCCAGCCAGCAATCAGCAAAGCAAACAAGCCGCGTTTTGTCTCTTTTAGTGAGAGACAAAATATAAAACCCCAAATAAATTCCAAATGTACTTCTTCATTTCTTCTTCCTAGTACTCCTCCGTATCTCTACTGTAGGGAGTCGGTGATCCACTGCACTGCACCCAACCAAATTGACAACTCCGTTGTTATTTTCTCCGCTTCACGCGGCTTTCCATTTCAGCCCCTCTGTTTTCGCTCTTCTTCACCAAAATCCACTCCCCTGCCACCTTAAAATCGAACCCAAAACCTGCCCGCTCTCTCTCTCTCTCTCTCTCTCAGAGACTCACTCGATCATACGAAATTTACACGTATGTCTCTCTCTCTTTTAGTTTTGTAAATTTTTATGCACAATGTATGCTTTCGTTAAGAATTGTTCATTTTGTTTTTTTACTCTGCATGTATGGAATTCGATGTTTATGTATGTGCATCTTATTGTAGTTTATTTTTTCTTTCGTTTTCTGCGTTTTCCCCCAATGTTGGGTTTAAGCCTCCGTTTAAATTAAGGAAAATAAAAGAAATTGGAAAAACTCAAATCGACCGAGCCGAAATGTGGAGTTACATTATATTTGTGCGAGCGTTTCTTTTCCCTCTTCTTCACCTCTCCATAAATTTTATTGTTTTATTCATTTCTATGTCGTATCAATATATTCTTGTGCGGATGAACCTGAGGCCATGAGATTGAGTTTTCCCTTGATTTGAATTGCCAAGTGAGATTAAGAGTACATGTTTCAGTGAGTGGGCACAGTTACAGGATATCTACATATAAATTTGTACATTTTTCTAATTTGTTACTGTAATATTGCCGACTCCTCCTTTCCCTCTTTTTGTTGTTGTTATTTTGAGTGTTTTTATGCTCCAATTTCCACCATCATTTCCATCAACTTACAGTGGTTTTATTCTTTCCTTTTCCAGTTAGTCAAAAAATGCCAGAAATTCAGTTGGGTTCTCACACTGTAAGATCTCATGGAGTAAAGGTATTGAGGATTCATATGCATGACTGGCTGATTCTACTGGTTCTTGCGGCGACAGATCTGGGTTTGAACTTGATAGAACCTTTTCACCGCTTTGTTGGAGAGGACATGATGACAGACCTGAAATACCCATTGAAAGACAATACAGTTCCCTTCTGGGGTGTTCCAGTACGTTTTGGTTTTGAGAAAACAATATCATGCTGAGAAAATTTGCAGAAATCTGAATATTGCATGAGTCTCACATTTGTATAGATGAGGCAAAAACCTTACTTTTCACTTCTAACAGATAATTGCAGTACTGTTGCCACTTGCTGTCATTCTTGTTTACTACTTCATCCGAAAGGATGTCTATGATCTGCACCACGCCATTTTAGGTAATTTTCTCCCTTTTTTGTTTGTTATTTTTCGTGATTCTTGCATTGGTGAATGGTGTTTGCATGTTGTAGTATTTCAATAACACTTCCATTGTCTATGCTCATTCAGGCCTTCTATTTTCCATCTTTATAACCGCTGTTTTAACTGACGCAATCAAAGATGGTGTTGGTCGACCTCGTCCAGACTTCTTTTGGCGTTGTTTCCCTGATGGCAAAGGGGTGGGCCTTCTAGTGCATAGAATTCTTATATATTTTGATCTTTTCTTGATATAAACTTGGCATTTTTCAGTTCTTGGTCGTGCTCACTTATACATACATTGACATACAATTGATCCATGTCCAGGTGTTTGATCCAATCACAAAGAATGTCATGTGTACTGGAAGCAAGAGTGTCATTAAGGAAGGACACAAAAGCTTCCCCAGCGGGCATACTTCATGTAAGCAGTTTGATATTTCTGGAAAACTGTACATTGAAGGATTAGAGATTAGGGATGTGCTTAATGTCCTCTGGGAGAGGTGTATGCTGACTATCTATTTTCTTAAGTTTATCTGCATATGTTTGACTTTGTATTGTTTTCTCATTTGCACTTTATCTTGATTTATCTGTAAAACCAGAAATTAGCCCGAACGTAAATCTGGTTGTCAACACGCAGGGTCCTTTGCAGGTCTTAGTTTCATTGCATGGTATCTATCAGGGAAAGTTAGGGTGTTTGATCGTAGGGGACATGTTGCAAAGCTCTGTATTGTCCTTCTACCATTACTTCTTGCGGCAATGGTAGCAGTTTCTCGAGTTGATGACTATTGGCATCATTGGCAAGATGTTTTTGCCGGCGGGCTTATAGGTACCTTGTCCGCTTATGGCATCATTGGCATGATTTTTTGAGAAAAACAAAAATGTTTGTCAAGTTTTTCATTCTTTCTTATATATATATATATATATATATTGTGCAGGAATCACCATTGCTTCATTTTGTTACCTGCAATTCTTTCCACCTCCGTATGACACAGACGGTATGTACCTAAGAGTTCCTTTTTAATGTTATCACTATATAGCTTCCCTTTCATTTTGTGTAACTCTGTTTTCATAGCTAAGGTTTTCTATTTCTACATAGTCCGTAAGTGTTTTTTTTTCTTTCAATGAAACTAAGTTAAATTTCTGTGCATTTTAATAGTCCACGGACATTGTTCTCAAGATTGTTTTCTGTTTATGTTGGATGGGCAGGTTGGGGACCTCATGCGTACTTTCAGATGCTGGCAGAGTCTCAAAATCGTGATGAGGCCTTGTCTCCCAATGCCAATAGTCTCAGTGTGCAGCAAACAGAGCTTGAGAGTATATACATCCAGTCTCAGCATGGTGTTGAAACATCACGAGGCTATAGTGGAGACACAAACCCCATTCTGAATGGGCGGGAAAGTGGGAGACACTTGAGTGTAGGCTGACTGTAGAGAAGAATAGAGTTAGTGATCAGGTGTTCATATTTTAGGATCGACGCCGTGTGAATTTCATACACAGATCTCAGAATGCAGATGAAATTTGGACCATCCTTTTTTTCTTGAGTTTGATTAATTGATTTATTTTGTAGGTGTTTTGAGGAGTTCATATTACATTGCTTCTGTTCCCTTTTCTTTTATACTGGTATATGGCTGGCTATGATCTTATATTTTGAAGTGACATGTATTATGTATAGCTATGTTTGAATGATATTATTCTTTTCTAGAAGCAGCCACGTTCAAAATTAAATGAAATTAATCCTCAGGGTTCAGACAAAGGAGAAGAAACCGAAGACAGAACAGAACCCAGGATAACACTCCCTGGTGCCTACCAGCCGCTTTTCGCATTTCACATTTCCAGAATTTTGGGTTGGTCAATAAGCAAACCTCAGGGTCCTAAAGCTGGGCCCGGGCCAACACGGTGAAACAAGTGTGCACGTCCAGAAGCATGGTGGAGGTGGCCCAATGCGTGGTTGAATGGGGAGGCCGTCTTCTGAAGAAGACCCTGAATGAAGGAAGAATCTTCCCATTTCGATTTGTTTTAACATTTACATTTGGAGGTTCAATTTAAAAGTAAAACAAATGGGCCCCATAATTCTCTCTTTTAAATTGACACAATCAAATTAAACGATAGAAAAAAGTTTGATTTAAAAATAGGTATATGATTTTCCCACTCCCCTTTTCTTTACTTATACTCTCTTTTACTTTTTAGTCAATTTTGTTCTTTCTCTTTCCTATTTTACCCTTATCCTACATTAATTTCTCTTTACTTCAATTTTATATTATTATTATTTTTTTAATACTTCATTTTCAGTTTTTTTTTCCTTTAATTGAGTAAGAAATTAAGTATTTTTTTCCCATTTAATACTGAAAATGGAGTGTAAGTTGGAAAATTAAGTATAAAGAAAAAGAAATAATATAAAAGTGAAACAAGAAAGAAATTAATGTAGGGTAAGGATAAAACAGAAAAGAGAAAGAACAAAATTGATAAAAAAGTATTAAAAAGCAAAAGGGAGTAAGTGGAGAAATCAGCTCCCTAAAAATAAAACAACAGAAAAAAGAAAAGAAAAGAAAAAAAAGGACCAACAAGATAACATGTACGTACTTTTAAACTATAATTCACACAACTCAGCAACTGTCTATCATCAAGCACCTTAAGAATGGAAAATACTCCCCTTGTACCATGTAAGTAGGACGAGTTCACGCATTTCTATCAATATAGCAGTGTAACATGTGTGACATGTGTGCATAAGTTTTCGTTTTTGTGAATTATTTTTGCATATGTGTCAAACTTTAATTCGCATGAAAGAAGAGTATTTCCTCATAGAGAAAAAGATAAGTTGTATCCCTTAAGAATTATTGTGACATAATTGATGTTTTTTATTTTCCCTTGCACGTAGGCAGCTGAAGAATATTGAATAATATGAACTATGAATTAATTTCTTATGTATAGTATGAACTATGAATGGCATTTAGATTTGGATAGATAGCACAAAAAGTTGGTTTGGTGATGGACTAATTTCCCAGCAATTAAGCACCTTTTTGTTGGTATGTACGGAAGAGTGCTATTCAAGTCAGAGTTGGAGCATTAGACCCTAAATTATGGATTTGGACTTAGTAATCAATTTAAGCATGAGAATACATCGATAGCATATAATAATATACCATGAATTGGATTTAGTAAAAGCGTACTTAATCAAATTTATTATTCAATTCGCTACAACATTAGCCTCTTTGGCTGGTCAGACAGACAATATTGACCAAGTACACTTGAAAACTCACTCGTCTCTCATATTCAACGCCACCCCCATTTTGACCTAGCACCATTTCCCCTCCTCCTATATAAACCCCCCTTACCTCCTCTCTTCTCACACTTGTCTCAAAACTCAAAACATCTTTTCTTAATTTGAAACCATTTCTTGACCTAATAAAAAAACAAAGATGGAGATTGCTCCCGTTGCATACTACGACAACTTGAAGAGGTACTGGAGAAGGAGAAGGTACCAGAGGCTCAATGGTGACACCAAGAAGAAGATGAGGGTCACAAGGCTTGGCGGAGTCAAAACTACCAGAAGGATTTGGAAGCTCAGAAGCGCCATGCCAAAGCTCAGGCTGATGAAGTTTGTCTCCCCACTTAAGCTATTGACAAAGTTCCACGATGCTTACGTTGACATGATGTATCGGATGGCCGGCAACGCTGCGAGTGTGGGAAGGATTTCGGGGAAGAAGGTTGCGAAAGCTCAAGACCAGATTTCAATTGCTTCTTGTGGGGAGGAAGTTGATGGTAGATTGGTTTTGGAAATATACAAGAGACTGGCTGCTTCTCGCCAATTATTGATTGATTATTGAAGCAAAATCAGCTTCTTCAAATATTTGTGTAATCAAATTCTTTTATAATTTTATTTCCATTGATTTATCAGATTGGCTCTAGCGCTGTTTCTTCATTCTCTGAAGTAGCAGCTCACGGGGCATGTTGTAACTAAAAAGTTTGGAATTGTACAAATTTCGAGCACTCAAGTCAATAACTTATTGAAATTTTTCGTATGCCACTATAATTTTTATATTTTCATAATTTAATTACGTGTTTGGAGATAATTTTGTGATTAAAGTCAATATTAAGGTATTGACCAAAAAAAGTCAATATTAATGTATGTAATAAGCCTCCTCCTCTCCTATACATGTATAAACCATCTAGAAGAAAATCTTTAACTATGCGGTTTGCCCGTGTGAGTCAAAAAACATGTACAAAGCGCATGCATGCAGACGCGGTTGAGTAAAGATCTGATGGTCAGAATCGGTGGTCGATTCTGTCGGCCAAGAAGTGGGACCTTCTCAGACGAAAGAATAAAATTTGGTCTATAGGCCTGAGGCCCGTGACATGGTGTCTCTTTTGGCCCAAGGGAGTGGAGCTCCAACAACAGGACCAACCAAATCATGAATTTTCGAAGTTTTGGGCAATAATAATTTATTTGCACTGTACTTAGCTCAATCTAGTTTAAACTAGAGTGATTGTCACCCTCAATAAGAATGTACGATTAAGAATGTTTGATTAATCGTCCCATGAATTTTCCAAGTGGTTTTGCCTTTTAGTAATCGTCACACTTAATAAGAATGTACGATTAAGATTGTTTTGTATAGAGTATAAAGATATGTGTTGTACCGAAGTTTTTTTTGAGTCTTTATAGATTTATGATGATCCTAAAGAAAATAGGAAAGCCGTGCAGGCTGCACCCGCACAAGGCCAAAGAAAACCAATTATCCTCCAGGTCCAGCAAATATATAAACCCAAGTGTATTTTTTATTTTGTCAACTTAATTAAGTGATTCTATAGATACCCTACATAGTATTTGTTATTGGTATATGGAAATGTGTTGTGTATTTGTTAATGTTTTATACGTTTTTTTGTTTGTTTTTGTGACAGCATATTATACCGTAGATTGGATTTCGTATAAGAATACTTGATCAAACTTAATTATTCAATCATTAAAAGACTAGCCTTAAATTTGCAGTCAGACAGACAATATTGACCAAGTACACTTAAAAACTCACTAATCTCTCTCACATATCCTCTGATTCTCATTCCCGGAATAAACCATAAGATCAAGCCTTCATTCATTGGGCACCCATTTTGACTTCGCTCCCAAATTCTTCTCCTCCTCCTATATATACCCTCTCTCTCACTTCTTCTCTTCACACACTTCTCTCAATCAAAACTCAAAAACACACAGTACTAGTAGAAATCAATTGAAATGGAGATTGTTCCGACTACGCACTACGACAACTTGAAGAGGTATTGGAGAAGGAGAAAGTACCAAAGGCTGAATGGTGACACCAAGAAGAAGATGAGAGTCACAAGGCTTGGCGGAGCCAATGGCACCAAAACTACCAGACGGGTTTGGAAGCTCAGAAGCGCCATACCAAAGCTCAGACTGATGAAGTTTCTCTCCCCAATTAAGCTCTTGGCAAAGTTCCACGATGCTTACGTTGACATGATGTATCGGATTGCCGGCAACGCTGCGAGTGTAGGAAGGGTTTCGGGGAAGAAGGTTGCGAAAGCTCAAGACCAGATTTCAATGGCTTCTTGTGGGGAGGAAGTTGATGGTAGATTGGTTTTGGAGATTTACAAGAGATTGGCTGCTTCTCGCCAATTATTAATTGAGAATTGAAGCACAAGCAACTTCAGTTAATTGTGTGACAAATATATATGCAGTTTCAATTTCAGTGTTACCATAGTTAATCACTTGATGTTGCAGCTACAAAGTTTGGAATTGTAAATTTTTTGTACTCATGTGATACATATTTTCAAGTACTTTTAAGTGATTGAAATTTTTGGTATGTGCCTACCCATGATTTTTATATTTTCAGAATTAAATTTCATGCTAGGAGATAATTTTCAGATTAAAATCAATCATCAATGATGGATCCATTTTCTGAAATTTGAGCGCAAAGTGAATGCATTGAGTGACTGTTGTGATTGGAGAGAGAGAGGGCAACTAACAATTATAGAGACAAATACCAAAATTAAGAAAAGTAGGTGCGTGCGGACTTCAATCAGATCAATTTATGGACAAGTAAAAGGTACTGAAAAGCAATATGTCTCTGATGTGCCCACCGCCCACCCACCAATAATTTTGGTTTGGGTTTAAGCTTTATGCAGCTGTTTGACTGTTAGCTAGCTATTTCTTATAACACACAGCTTCACTTTCAGAGGTGAATTAGTTATGAAATTCATCATCATCATCACCCCAAAAAAAATCCAAGTCTTTCAATCTGAAACTGATCAGAAGGCAACCCCAACAAGGACATATAACATGGAAGAAGAACAAGGCCCCTATCACCCTCTTCGAGATCAAGACGGCGACGCCATTTCTGCTGATGACACTCGGTTGAAGCAGCTGGGTTACAAGCAAGAACTCAGTCGTAACCTCTCGTATGAAACCTTTTACCCTATCCATCCATCCATGAATATTTACCTTCTTTTTGTGTGTTTAATTTGGGGAAGCACTTTTGACTTTTCTGGCACTTTTCCCACATCACAATCACATTTTTCAGTTCTAGATGAATGCATACAAGTCTTATTTTTGTTCACAGCCTTGGACTTTTAATCGTTGAATATGAGTTCTGATATTTCTGAATCGAGACAGTAATAACTAACGTGAGCATAATTTAATATGATATGATTGTTTTCCAAGGAATGAAATGACATAATTTTGATTGATATACTTTTGTTTTATTATTAGTTTGCTGGGACAGGAAAGTTGTATTTAAACGTTGCTTGGGTTTCGTGCAATTCTTTTATTTTGCGTATTTTCCTGGCCGTTGTTTTTGAATATTGTTGATTCAAAAATGTCACATTGGATTGGAGAATGACTGACTTTGAATAAGATATACACTTGAACAAATATCTGAAAACAAAACAGTGCAGAATTGGGGCAGCCAACCAGATTTAGTATTTACCAACAAACTGATAATAAAATAAGAAACGACACGCGGATCAATCAGAACAAGCCAACGCAAGAAATCTATTTATGGAATCTGCGTTTTTTTAGGCCTTCGATTCATTCTGTGCTTCTTCTTGTTGTGTGCAGGGCAATTGCAAACTTCTCGGTGACTTTCTCTATCATATCAGTTCTGACTGGTCTCAGCACAACATATGGTATGAGCCTCACCTATGGTGGGCCCGTAACTATGGTCTACGGGTGGCCCATTGTGGGCCTCCTCACACTCCTAGTGGGCCTATCAATGGCCGAGATTTGTTCCGCTTATCCAACTTCTGGTGGGCTTTACTTCTGGAGCGCCAAACTCGCTGGTAAACGCTGGGGCCCCTTGGCTGCATGGCTCACTGGCTGGTACGTTTTTCCTTCTTTTATTTTATTATTTTATTTATTTTTAGTCTCTGAAAAAATATTTGTTACATATATGCTGAAGTCTTAAACCCCTTAGATGAGGCACTATCTTTTAACTATTGGATCAAATTAACCAATTTGATCCAATGACTAGTCAATTTAATCCAATAGTTAAGATATAGGACCTTATCTAAGGGCCTTATCTGAAGCCCTCACTATAGAATTCTACCGGAAACCAAATCGAATCCTTGGAATATTTGATGTTTGGAATTTAAGTGGTTTTCATGCATCGTATATTGTTGGGCCAGGAAATCCTAAAGCCCATATAGATGAAGTGGGCCTGAACAATTCCTGAGCCTAAGTATTGAACAGCCGTTGGTCCAAGAGCACTCGTCGGCCAATGGGCTATTGCATTTTATTTTAATTTTTGCATGAACCATTGGATTGGATGTATTGTATTGTGTTTGTCCATTGACTGGTATTTTGTGGATTTTTTGACTTGCGTATTGTTTAATTAATCCCTATTACTTTAGGGACTCTAATTGGAGGGTCAGCACGTGGGCTACTTGGTCAATGATTCAGATTCTTGTTTCTGTGGCCGATCAATATTCAAAATCCCATGTGAAAGTGACGTCAGAGAATCTTATAATGCACCATGAGTCTTGCATAATAAAATAAAATAAAATAAAATAAAATAGTGATAATAAATGTTACTATTTTATCCCCGTAGGGTATGGGGCTCCCATATAAATTAAGTAGAGAGTAGGTGGCATGTTATCAGAAAACTTGGTTTTAGCGTGAGTCACGGTGGTAAAAGGTAACATTGTTACCTGGTCTTTTGCTAATACGGAATCTGTAACTGCTATTTATGCTGTGCAAGCAAACATTGTTATGTCGTTATAAGTTTTAGGTGGCAATATTTGTATAACTTATAGTTACGTGTTGCTTCATCTTTGAAGTGAAACCTTCGCAAACAACGCTGAAATAGAATCATTACGTTCCATAGGCAAAAAATCCAATGAAAGGCAAAAGAATGAAAAGCCAAGTCAATCAAGCCAATGTCCAAAGTCCATAGGCCACGTCGTAGCAATCTTCTCGGCGCGTCAACCTGCATTGCCTACTGGCTGCTCTGTTTGACTTTCATGCCCTCAATCAAAAGCTCTCCTTTTCTGTTCTCATATGCCTATTTTTTTTATACTCCAGCTGCGTAGCCACTGACACTCTGCTTGAATCAATATTAGCCAAATTAAGGCAAATCCAATTTCTCTCTGTCCCTTGGAATTAAAGAAAAATGTTGTCTGATGGTCGTGACAGAATGGGACTGCCATCTCATGTGGTCCCAAACGGCAGCGCTTCACAGGACTCCGGCCATGCCCGTCTCCATGAACTTGGCTACAAACAAGAGCTCAAGCGTGACCTCTCGTAATTTTTCCAAATTCCAATTTTTTCTTTCGTTTTGTTTTGAAACATCTCTTCTTTTTCTAGTTTTGAGGTTTTTTGGTTTATGGGTTAGCTCGTTTGGAATTGCAGGCTGCTTTCAAATTTTGCTTTTTCATTTTCAATCATATCGGTGCTTACCGGTGTGACCACTCTTTACAACACTGGACTCAAATACGGTGGTCCAGTTTCTGTTGTTTATGGATGGCTTATAGCTGGTTCTTTCACCATCTTTGTTGGGTTGTCCATGGCTGAGATTTGTTCTTCCTACCCAACTTCTGGGGGTCTATACTATTGGAGTGCCAAGCTTGCTGGCCCAAGATGGGCACCCTTTGCTTCTTGGCTCACTGGCTGGTACTTTCCTCTCCTTTCAGTTATTCCTCATTCCTCATCACTTTTACTAACACTGTTACTCGTTTAGAATTTGATTGCCTAAAAAAGGACTCAAATTTTGGTGTTCTGTTGGGGTTATGGGATCTGGAGTGCCTAGATGAATATGTTGGTTGACTAGTTGAGCTTTATAGCTCCTGTGCATTATAGCTTTCACAGCATGTGTACCATGCTTAAGTAATCTTACGAGTGTGAATATCTTTCATTCTTCGTTTTGCTATGCTATTATGTCCTAGTTATCTGTTCCAGAGCTGTATAAGTCAGATTCTTGTCGGAATAGCTGTATAAGGTCAGATTCTTGATTAATCATGTGTAGTTCTTTAGATTAGGTTGATTTGGTTACTCGCTATTTTGGTGGGGATTAACTCTAGGACATGCTCAACATGAATAGCTCTATCTGTAGATGAACTAAATTACGCATCATGACAGCAATAATGATCAATTTACTTTTGAACTGGGATGAGTAAGTTTTAATAGAATTTATGCGGAATGCAAGGAGTAGGCTCTGGTGCTTCCGCTTTAGAAATTTTTTTTATATAACATCGAACTATCTTCACAAATACGTTTAAGATGCTCAACTCTTGTTCGCTATACCATCTCAAGCTGGAATTATTGAAGCCTTCAAATTTTATACTGCTATTGATGCATATGCCATTTTGTCTTGTGATGTTCTCAAACGCATGGGCTAGAATAGTGAAATTGTTACCTTGTTTATTCTGAGCCTAAAACTGAAATGTATATTACGTGCAACTTTAATCCCAAGACTTTCCAAGTTGGTCTCTCTGCTATACTATTCTCTGATGACAGTAAATGGTTTTATGTTTTGCAGGTTCAACATAGTTGGTCAGGTAATTGTAAAAACTCTTACGTTGTGAAGTTTAAAATCGTTCAATATCCCTTCTGAGGGTTGTTATGGATGTGATATTTCCATTATAAGCTCTAACTGCATTGCTACCTTCCAATTGCAGTGGGCAGTCACAACAAGTGTGGATTTCTCACTTGCACAGCTGATTAACGTAATCATTCTACTTAGCTCAGGTGGAAGAAATGGTGATGGTGCTTCGGGGGATAAATATGCAGTCATTGGTATACATGGAGGAATTTTGTTTCTACATGCTCTCATAAACAGTCTTCCCATCTCGTACTTATCTCTCTTTGGACAGCTAGCTGCTGCATGGAATATTGTAGGTATAACGTATTTTCGAGCACTTTTCACTTTCTTAGTTTTCAATTTATTGCTTGAGGATACCTATATCTTGGATTTCTTATCGCTATTGGAATATGTAGGCGTCTTTGTCCTTATGATTCTCATTCCCTGTGTTGCAACGGAGAGGGCAAGCGCCAAGTTTGTATTCACTCACTTCAACACTGATAATGGGGAGGGAGTCAACAACAAAGTTTACATTTTGTTCTGGGACTCTTAATGAGTCAGTATACCATAACTGGCTATGATGCATCTGCCCATATGGTAAGTTGATACCTTCATTACTTTCAACTTAATTCACTTACTTCATAAGATGCAATCTGTAAGGATGAATCCTAAGATCTCAATCAGATGCATCCTGTTTGTGGGAGTGCAAAATTATGGGATTGTCAAATGCTACATAATCTTTGTGTGTATGAAGTTGTCTTTTTTGTTTTTTGCTGAGCGAGTTGTATTTGATATTTCAACTTGCGTAATGTCATATTTGCATTAGCAATCTCATATAAACTCTAAGCATTATCAACTAAAGTAAAGTCATGTTTGCATAATAACTATTTTGTCCATACTGTAATGATACGATCATCAAATCAAACACAAGATGTTTGGAAATTAATAACGTTTTTAGCTCTTCTCTTTGTTTGATGGCTTAATGATTGCCATATAATTGTAACGAAATCTCCTTCAACTTCTGTTTCTAGACAGAAGAAACCAAGAATGCTGATACAAATGGACCAAAAGGAATAATTAGTTCCATCGTGATATCTATTATCGTTGGATGGGGTTATATACTCGGGATCACCTTTGCTGCTACTAACATCCCATACCTTTTGGATGAGACTAATGATGCTGGTGGTTATGCCATTGCTGAAATATTTTACCTAGCATTCAAGAGTAGATATGGCAGTGGAGTTGGAGGAATTATATGCCTGGGAGTCGTTGGTGTTGCCATATTCTTCTGTGGTATGAGTTCAGTTACTAGCAACTCCAGGTAAGCAAGCCTATTTTATGTCTCATACAACAAGAACCACTAGGGTTGAGTTTAATCTCTCAGCTGCTCATAGTGCTTAAGTTTCTTCTCAGGATGGCTTATGCATTCTCTAGAGATGGAGCCATGCCATTTTCATCATTTTGGCATAAAGTGAATAAGCATGAAGTCCCAGTAAACGCAGTTTGGCTTTCAGCCTTTGTATCATTTTGCATGGCACTGACAGTAAGCACATCACTTGTTGCAATAAACTTGTATCTCTGTTTTTCCTGCAACTGCTAAGCATATGTTTATTTCGTCTTTGCAGTCTCTTGGAAGCCTTGTGGCATTTAATGCCATGGTATCTATAGCAACCATTGGACTGTACATTGCTTATGCCCTACCCATCTTCTTGAGGGTGACCTTGGCACGCAAATCCTTTGTCGCAGGACCTTTCAACTTGGGACGCTACGGGGTCCTTGTTGGTTGGATTTCAGTGCTTTGGGTAGCAACCATCTCGGTCCTCTTCTCGTTGCCTGTTGCCTATCCAGTTACTATTGAGACACTCAACTATACTCCTGTTGCAGTTGGGGGTTTGTTTCTTATTACAGTTTTAGCTTGGATCTTGCGTGCTCGGCACTGGTTTAACGGTCCTATAACCAACACAAATGAATGAACTTGTGTATATTCAGTGATTTTCATTTCTTCCAATCATCTATAGAAAAAGATTATTTTTTAAGCAAGGCATCTGCTGCAATTTACTTCTTTTTAATTATATTAAAAGCTGATGACATAATTTGTACAAATTACCCAATTTATGATAATACTCCAGATTATACCAATGGAGTCTCGTCTCACAGCATTCACAGAGATCTGGGGGAGATGGCATGCTACACGGTATGCATTGACCTCCACAGCTAATAAAACACTGAATCTGCTCGTTTAACTGAGAATGGAGTATTTTCATATGCTCGTTTCAACGAGGCTTAATTGGTTTATATGGTGTGTGTATGCGGCAAATTTTTCATTTGATACAAACTAACTTTAACCAACATAAAATTTGGAAATCACGAAATCTCATATAAAAGGAAATTTTCAGTTCAAGCTACTCTACTCTAACCTGCAGTATCTGTGAACTACCAACGTTAATTATGCCTTGCTTGAATGGAAAAAGGGGATGCACTTAATTTTTGAAGTCTGAATCAGGAACAACAATGTTCTGGTTGAATGCACCCAAAATCTATTTTTCTATAAATTAGTAAACTGAGTAATCAGCTTACAACAACTCAAGAGGAAACATATGCTTCGAGTTCATTGTTACTGAATTTTATTTGGAGAGACCTATTGACATGAAACTTCATCTGCATTCGAACTCATAAGCTATTGCGGGTTGGTGCTGTTTTCAGAGGAAGTTTTTCTTAACCATTCACAGCAACCATCCACATGACCTGCATCTGGAGCTCATAAACTATAGAGGGTCTGTGCTATTTTCAAGTAAAGTTTCCCTTAGCCATTCACAGTAACGATCAGCATCACCTGCATTTGGTACACTGCCAACACAGCTGGCCTCCTGTGGGTCTTCTTCAAGCAGTTTCAACAGCTCATCATACTCTGAAAGGGGTTGGTTCTCGTTTGGTGAACTAGCCTCTCCAGCTGTAGTATCCAGCTTCTGGCTGCCATCATTGAAGTCTGCCGGAAATTTGTTTGGATTGGTTGCATTGCCTGAAGCTATCTGTTCTGGCACAAGCTCAAGTACTTCAGTTGTTAATCTTGCACCTTCTGTTGAAAACTGGTTCTGATTTTGGGAATCGAAGGGACCGGTCAAAGACGAAGTATAGTATTGCTCTTGATTCATGACAGAAGGCTCATTTGGGACCTGAAATGTGTTTCCTGATATGTAGGGGGAAGCAGCAGCCTCTGGAGTTATGTAGTTCATACTTGGAAAGTGGCTTTCACTTGTTCTAAAACTGTTCTCTTCTATTCCAAGAGGTTGTTGGTTCATGATTTCATTCATGCCAGCACCGTATCCAAAACTGCTTGTTTCCCTTATTTGGTTCAAATTTTGAAACTGTCCTTGAGTTCTTAAATAAAACTCACTGGGGTTGTTGGTATGATGATTTGTGTAGTGAGACAAGATTGTATGTCCCGAATATAGATTCTGCCTTCTGTAGTCATGATTGTTGAAACCAGCTACAGGGATAGGAGATGTGATCAAAGAATTTGGAGCATCTAATTGTGCTGTATTACCTTGGACTCCAAAACTTGATGTCCTTTGATCATATTGGCATACCAGAGAACTTTGCTTTGCTGGTGGAAATTCATTTCTGTTGATGCAATTGGATAATCTACTTAATGAAGAAGGTAAGCTAGTTGTGTCCGTCCCACGAATTCTCTGAACTTGGTTTTTATATTTCTGGAAGGAAAGAATATAAATCCTATTTAAAACGGTTAACAAGATTAAGAATATTGGTAATAATGCATGCAAGTTCTCAACTTGGAAAAAGAAATGAAGCAGAAAGGAAAACCATATAGAATGGATATCATGCTGTATGAATTTTAATGGGCAGTAGAAGACAATGACAAAAAAAGTTAGAATTGAATGAAAATATGCATAGTATCATATAGCATAAACAACGAAGTCGGTTATCTTTGCTTTACTATGATTCAACAAATGCATAAAGAATCAATCAAGAGTTAATTGATGGGAAAAGACCATTTGGTTCTTGAGATATAAGTAGATGAGAAACCTGCAGATGGCTTGCAACCTGGCGCACTGTTATATTTGGCACATTCATCATTTTTAGAATTGCTTTGGGACGAGACTCTGGATCCAAAAAGCAAACATTAAAAATGACAACAACTTGGTACTTTTTCAGGGTGAAGCATACTGCTGCACCACAAAGCACATAAAAAATTTATATTGTTTGCTAAGAAAGAAGACTTACTTAGATCTCCTAAGGCACTTAGAGCTGCTGTAAACTTGAGATGCAGTTCCGGAGTCCAAACAGTACGATGCTTTTTATCGCCGGTGGTGCCATTGCTATCCCGATTCACTTGTTCTTGCTCTTCTTTATCATCAGTTGGTCGCTTTATCCCAGAAGCTCCTTGGGCTTTGCATGTCAAAGTGCAAGTGTTTTGTTTGTCAATGTCCAAAGCATGTCCAGTGGCAAGGCTACACTCACCACCAGCCTCATTCCTTTTAACACCTCCAAGGGGAGGCCTAAGCACATCACCAGCCTCATTTATCTTAATCCCTTGACAGTCCTTTCCACTGTTCATTTTCGTTCCACAATTTGGTTTATGTTTGTACTTCCTTGGGGTTCTAATCTTCCGGTACACATGTTGCCACATGCTTTTCAGATCCTCCAGAGAAATTGGTTTCTCGAGGAAAAAACAGGCTCCTTCAGCTAGGGCCTTCTTGGCTACATAAACATTCATTTCGGAGGACATGACTGCATAGAAATTCAAGTTATCAAGCAGCTACTACACAAGAAGAAATTTCTGTAAGCCAAATATTCCAAATAGAAAACTTAAGATGAATTCAAAGCTTACATATGACAGGGATCTCCTTCTTGTGCAGTACACGCAGAAAAGAAAGACTGTCCATATCTGGCATGTTAATGTTAGCCATCACAAGCTTATAGTCATCCTTTTGTTCCGTAATCATGGACAAAGCAACAGATGCCATCTCGGTTGTGGTCACTGGAAGAAAAACACAAGACTAAGTTGAATTCCATTCAACATGAAGATTAACCAAGTTGCAAAGAACAAGCATCAAGATCAAATCACTTTGAAGCTGTGAATTTATATCAAAAAGTATATATCCTCTCTATCCAATATGTTTTGATTGTCCTTTCCAAACAATTTCAGTATCAGTTTTCTTTCATGGATTGCCTCAAGATTTATGTTCGCAAAACAAAATGTTTAAACTTTTGATCCAATATCAGTTATTTACATATCGGATACAAAAAAAGTTATTTGTATGCGTTTATGCACACAGCCACGCAAATAAGATAAAAATTGTCAAGGAAGCACATTTTGATATAATAACTCTTAATATTGTGTTATAGACATAAAGCCACGTTTGATGTCTAGGATTAAATTGGATTGAATAACTCACAAGATTCAAGGTAAGTTGAAGTAAGAAATGAAGATAGAGTTGAATGATTTTTCATTTTGTAGGGATTAGAAGGGATACATATTGAAATCATATCATTTTGTGGGGATTGGATGGGACATAACTAATCCATCTTCTACCTTCACCTTGAACAAAATTTGAAGATTGGCCTTGATTTCTTCCATCAACAAATCTAGTGAGTTATCTAACCAAATCCAATCTTAGACACCAAATGTGACCTATATACATAAAATACAGGAATATTTATGTAAGCATGCCAATCTTATTTGAAAGATAAACAGACCGCCATATATCTGTCCATGAAATTCAGATTATGGAATGAACAAATTTTAAAACAAACTATGCAGAGACACAAGAAATGTTCAAAATTATGGCATGAACAAGTTTCTTCATGTATATTATTACCCTTGAATGAGTATTGTTCAAGCATTGATGCTATGCACATGAGGGACAATGTGTCATGATCTACCAGAAGGATTTGGAGGTCATGTGCAAAGCTAGGGAGACCATTAGTCTCTGTACGACTCATGTGTTCCATTGCCACCAGAAGACTTAGGACAAGATATTTGAGTGCGACAGAGAAAACAGGGTACCCTGAAGCTTGAATCTGAAAAAATGAATTAGATTCAGAAGCTTAATGTGTGTGTGTGTGTGTGTGAGAGAGAGAGAGAGAGAGAGAGAGAGAGAGAGAGAGAGAGAGAGATTGTGAAACGAGGCTTAAGCATAAACAAAGACGAAATGTTTTTGTTGAGGAGTTCTCTTATTTATATGGCACTCAATACCAGTCAACACTGTGTCTGTGTGACTGACCAATTAACATGTTGTTGAAACTTGAAACTATGAAGAAGAAGAAGAAAAAAAAAAAGACTTAGAAATCTGCCAAATCTTAGTAAATCTTAGAAATTTGCCATAATATAACTCACATGTGAGCTAGGCTGCTGTGTGTGAACTAGAAAATTATTTTCATATCTGTTTCCAGGTTCAAGAAATGACAGATTCATGTTCTGCATAATTATAAAGGAAATGTACCATAAAAAAGTAATGAACATTTTCCTTAATTCCACATTCAGCAATTTTGACCAGTGAGCTTTTTAGGTAATTCAATTCAATGTCCTTTGACATGCATTCTTATTAATTGAAAAAAGACAAAAGCAGTGAAGAAATTCAATTTTCTTCTGAGGTTCATGTTAGTTTCTGTTGCATATACTTTTCTGCAAAAGCTATTCTCCACAACTGATACTATTTTAGAAGCCCTTATTCTGATTAACAATAATTTTCCATTGATTTTCTTAATTTTAGTTCTAACAATCACTACCCATCAAGTAATTTGTTATGCTTATGAGCTCAAAATATAGAATTCAATGAGTCACGAGAGAAATGTAGGGAATTTTTTTCAGAAAGAGGCGGTTTACATGGAATGCCTTTTTCTTGACATATGTCTAGAAATGCCTTTTCTTAAAAAGGATAATATTTGCTCTAAGAAATAGCGAGTCAAATAGTTAGTTATTTGGGATTTAATGCGGTTTATTGAACTTAATTTGCTACACACTCCCTTAGAATTGACTGGTTTTATTTTGAAAATGGATGATCTCTACATTTCATGCTGCAGTGTAGCTGAAGCTCATTAGGGCAGTTCTTCCATGACTCAATACTCAATGAATAAATAACGAAAATAACTTGAAGAAGGTGTGGTCTTTTACTAAGCATTGAGCAATTAGTTTAAATATGATTCATAGTGAACAACTCGTTTCCTAGAGCTAAATTGACTATTATATTATCAAAACTAGCATCTTTGCCCTTTCTGTCCGCCCTAAGGCGCGAAAAGAAGTTTTAGTTAAGTGCATTTAACGGATTTTCAAAAATTTAACTACCAATGCGTTTTACTTTATATATACGCTAGTCTCTTGAGCTGCGTTTACGCGCGTACTATTAAAGTCTTATATAAATATATATATATATTATATAAAGAATGATTAGATATATAATAACTATGCATAGTGAACAACTCGTTTCCTAAAGCTAAATTGGCAATTATATTATCAAAACTAGCATCTTTGTCCTTTCTATCCGCCCTAAGGCGCGAAAAGATGTTTTAGTTAAGTGCATTTAATGGATTTTCAAAATTTTAACCACCAATGCGTTTTACTTTATATATACACTTAACTCGTTTACGCGCGTACTATTAAAGCCTTACATAAATATATATATATATATTATATAAAGAATGATTAGATATATAATAACTATGATTAGATGTATTTTTTTTATATTTCCCAATTTTTTTATTATATAAACTCATCTCTTTTTTCTTTCTTTCTGATTATATATTAATTTTTCACAAATTTTTTGTTTTTTCAATGTGCACACTACGTTGGGTTAATAGGTGAGGCACAAAGCCTCAGCACATAGATGAAGCCCAATTTTGGAGTTGGGTTAGGGCCAAACCCGATCTGTGTTTGATTGGCGGGACACTAGAGCAGAAAACTTAAATTGAAAAGACGCAGAGACTGATGTTATTTTTCGGTCGAATAGATATACTTGAGAAGGCATGAAAAGCAGAACAAGGTCACTGGAGCCCAACAAAAGCTTGGGACCAAAAACAGCCTGAGCCGCAAGATACAAAAGAAAGAGCAAACGAAGTTGGAAAGGTGGTAGGGATACATCAACAAAATCATCTTAATTTTTACGGGTTGATGATGGTGAGGCTTACTCGTTACTCGTTAGGGTTTTTTAATTATAATTTTTTTTTAAATTTTACTTTAATTTTATCATACCATTAGTGCAGTTATATCTGACTGTGATTTCTGATTTGCAGGAGGAATTTTCCGAAGAGCTTGAGCCCTTATTCGATTACAGACGTGTTCAGCCTCTCAATGTCGTTTACCTTGATGGTGAGCTCTTTTGGACTCTATTTGGTTGATTCACTTGAGAGGAGCAGAAAATTTTGAACCATTTTCATCAAATAAGGCATTGAAATTTTAATCTTTTAGGGGTTTATACAGATTTAATTTTGGCGAGTTCAGAATTTGAAGTTTTCAATATCGTTGCCTCTTTTTTTTTTAAAATGTTTCTGGCAGACGATGATTTAGATGCTCCCTCAGCTTCTCCTCCAAAAAGGAGGAAGATTTCCGATTCTGCGGTAACAAATTTATATCCATATTATTTTACATTCATATGTACTCTGTTTGTTGTTTAAATTCCATATGATAAGAGGAATTGTTATAAATTGCAGTCCCCATATTTTATGATTATTTTCCCATTGGTGTTTTGGATTATGTTGGAATTAGGTTGAAAAGGTTGATGCCACTGTGAAGGCAGTAAATGTTATTGATTGTGGTGATAAGGAAGAGGAGGATTGGTTCCCTCCTCCGCCCAAGGTTTCCCTTGACGCAAAGCTGCGGGGTGAGGATTCAACGTTAGGAGTGGAGGTTTTGAATTTTTTGTTTTTTGGTTTTTTTTTTTTTTTTTTTTTTTTTTTTTTTTTGTTTTGTTTGGTGTGATTATTATTATCTTCTTAAACTTAGATTATCCTTGCCCCAAGAAGAAATTTATGACACATTAGTGTCTAGTGTATATCTTTTCCGTTGTTCTTTAGATTCTAGTGGGTAAGTAATTGTGGTCCATGCATGTAGGTTAAAGAAGCAAGAGCTGGCATCACTTGCTCAATCAGCTGAAAACGTGATGCGAGCTGTAGAGGAATCTGTAAAAAGAGAACTTAGTGATCATTGGAGGCTGTTGCCGAAAAACCCTCAAAGCCCCGTTGTGAAAGAAACAAAATTGTTTTATCTATTCAAGACAAAGATGGAGCTAAGCAATTTCGTATTTACGTGGTATGTTGTGCAGAAGTATTAACCTTTATAATATGTTTGTCTAGTAATTTTCTATTCCAAAAACAGACAATTTTACTAGTTATTACTGGTAGGTAATGGAGTGGGAGTTCAGCAATATGGTATGCTGATTCCCCTTATGAAAGGTAGGAGTTATGAGAGGCTGTTCATATATAAATCTAATCAAGGGGTTCAGCAATGGACAGGTTTTCAACACGTGACTGCTAAATTTTTTATTTTTCACAATTTATCAGCGTTCATATCTAAACCTAAAATTCATGAAAAACTGTTACAAAGCATAGGTTTTCTCAAAACAGAACTTCCTTGTGCCTGTTTTGGTACATTTTCTGCATATTTTCCTTCTCATCTTGTGGATCACTTTATATTTCATATTGTGATTAATCAAGTTGAATACATGGTACATTTTACCTTCCTCTTTCTGACTCTGAATATTAAAAAGATAAGGTCGAAGATTTCTTCTGTAAATATCCCTTCCTAGTTCCTTGCTGCCTCACTTTTTTTACATGTTACTTTGTTCCGTATTCTTTGGCCTAATCTTTGATGTATATGCAGGCTATGTGATATTAGACATTGTAATTTTTAATTATGTTTCTTCTACTTTAATAGGACGACAAGTTTGAGCGGCTCTTCAAAATGTATGCAGATAAAGCTAAGCTTGACCTTAAGAGTTTGGTGTTTTGTTTTGATGGGGACAAAATAGGTCCAGCTGCTACACCTGATGCCCTTGGCATGGAGGACAATGACATCATTGAAGTGCATGTTACCTCGAGCTGACATGGTATGGTCATTTCACAATCAATCTCCCACTTGTCTGCTTTGTTAAATTATGGCTTTAGGGCATATCCTTATACTCATCCTATTTTGGTTCATATTTAAGTTTTATGTATAAAATTATAAATACATCATTCCTACAAAAAGGGAAAGTTTGAACACGTCCTTGGTGATTGACTGATAGTTATGTTGAGATTAGTTAAATAGAAGGCTGGGTTGTGCTTAAATTTGGAAGGGTGGACATGGTTTGGGGTGGTTAAGAGCAAGAACCTGTTTTTCAAGCTTCAGAACTGGCAGAATGATAACTTGTTCCCACATTAAAATCTTTGTGTGCCAGGAAAGTCTCTTTTCCGATTTAGATAGCCACCCTTCTAGTTTGAAGATGCTCATCGTCTCCAGAATGGAATTATGAAGATTTGCTTTCCATTAATCTTATACCTAGGTGGTTAAGGTGGTATTTTTGTTGTTGATAATATTATTAAGACCACGGTTGGGTAGTTGGATAGGCATACTAAAAGCTGTAGTCCCTCAAATAATTCATTCAAAAGGGGGAATAATTGTCATATCATGTAACCATCCCTGCTGCTTATGCTTATTCTTTCGATGAGAATGCTTGCAAGCACACTTGTTATATATTCAGTGGCGTGGATTTAGAAAGCAGAAGCTGAATGCTGTTTGTGGCATAGAGATGAAGTTGACAGATTCTAGCAGAGTTGAATTTTTTGTTTTCGGGAAGGAAAACCCTGTCTAGATTCACCTCCGTTTTACTTGCTTTGTTACTGCTGCTGAATATAAATTTTTGTTGTAGATGTTTATTTGTTATCTTTGCACAATGTTATGAATACTTTTCAGTCTGAGTTTTTGGCATACAATATTTTATGTTTTTGTTGCTCAATTCCTTTTAAATTCTTATTGCTTCTTCTTTGAATTCAGGTTTTTCTTCAACCAAGGCACTAAAACCACCAACTTGACGACTCTATTGTGGGGACAAGAAGCACCTGGATGGTTGATCTTTTCGTATAATTTTGTAGTTTGTGCAGTACCTGCTCTCTAACTGTATAGTGTTATTTTGAAATTATTTAGGAACAAGTGCAAGCTTTAAAGTACATAGCTTGGAGAAAGGAAACACTCCTCGCTTGTTTTGTGGACGTGAACAGTGGACCTAATTGAATTTGAGTGTGCCAAAAACTTGTTTTTCATTAAGCAGCACATTGGCTTCTTTACTGGAATTTGTGAACTTATGCATAAAATTTTGTTTTCAGATAGCTTTCCATACTGCAGTGCTTTATATGTTATCCTACATTTGAGTGAAAAGAACCAGAATCTAGCTGCCAGCAATCTAATTTGAAAGATTTTGCAAACAATATATGCCCTTAGTGTTCGTGTAGATGGCTCGATACAACTCATAATGTGTAAGTTCTACATTGAAGAATACCTCTACAATTCAAATATAGATGGTCCACTCTTAATTGCATCAATGTCTTTTAAGTTAAAATTCCACATCTAGAGATCCACTGAATTTAACCCAACTTAAGAATTAGACTTCAATGGTTAAGGTGGGGACAATATCGGTGCTAAATTCCTATAGCAGTCTAGTTGAGCAAATTCAAAGGCACATAATTCAGAGCAAGATTTTGAGAACAATATATGTCCTTAGCACCTTTCTGTAGATACAAAAGAACAAAACTACTTTATTAACAACCAGAACAGCCAATCAGCCATTGACCAAAAAAAAAAAAAAAAAAAAAAAAAAAAAAAACAACGCCATTGGCGGAAGCAGGCGACATTTTGGATCACATGGATCATACATTTCACGTGCACTCAGAGTCACTCGGTCTCTTCTCTTCGTCTCTCAGTCAAGAGGGCAACTGGATAACGTGGATGATGATCCCGTTGTCCACGAGAGCCACGTATTCAAATCCACGCTGGAAAGTTTCATCTCATAAATGTACACGTCAAACCCATAAAGTGTTAAAAGGGATAAAAGCAAGAAAGAACATGACCAAACAAACACCAAAACAGCTCAGAGCTCAGTCTGCCTCTGAGCTTTTTAATTCCCGGGACAATGGAGAGAGGTATTTTTTTTCCTTCCATTTGCTTTGTCAAGTTTCTGAGTTTTATCTCTGAAATTATAATTGGTTAAATCCATCAGGTTCTTTTCAGTTGCGATCGCCTCTGTTTCTTCTTTCGATTACTTGTAATCTTAGAAGTTCCCTTTTTTTTTCTCTCGAATGTTTCACATACTTCAAACTTGTAACCGGACACAACTCAACTTGCATTCTTAGCTTGAAATTTCAGAGCTTGACATGTCTAATTTGCATTGGCAAGTTTGATATGGGAATTTTCCCACACCTCAACCATCCGCATCTGATCCAACAACTGAGAAATATGATTCTATTAAGATCCCAATAGAGAATCTCATATATTTATGTGTATGATGGTAAATATTAGTGTTGGGGTTAGTTAGCCTTTTCATGTTTGACTCCACTCAATACTTTGCTTGTTATGCTGGAATATTGTTTAGATCGTGGAAACTGTGGCAGATCAACTAGGACTATAATTTTTTCTTTTACTTCCCAACTGAAAAAAGATGGTATCTTTCTTCATAAAAATAAAAAAGATGGTATCTTTACTGTTGATTATATCTGACAGCGAGAGGGCTCAGCGGAATGGGGGTTTCAAAGTTTTGGAGGCCGTAGTTTTTGTGAAGTAAAGAAAATGAAGAAATTATGTGAGTTTTGCTTGGTACTAAGGCCAGTTGTGTACTGTAAAGCTGATGCAGCACATCTTTGCCTTTCCTGCGATGCAAAGGTCCACTCAGCAAACACTATTTTTAACCGACATCTGCGTACTATCTTATGCGATTCATGCAAATACCGCCCCGCTTATGTTCAGTGTTTGGATCACAAGATGTTTATGTGCCGTGTCTGTGACATTACCCTGCATATTGCTTCCCAGCATCAGAAAAGGGCAATTAGCAGTTACACAGGTTGCCCATCTGCTAAGGACTTTGCAGCATTTTGGGGTTTTGAATTGAACGAGCTAGACAGTAGTGCACATCTGGATGGAACTCTCTCCACTTCTTGTGGCTCTTCCTGTGACTCAAGTGCAGTAAACTTAGGTAGTTGTGAACAGTCTTGCTCTCAAGTTGAAGGCTTTCCAGCAGCAAATTCTCCCACCCTGGCTCCAGGTGGAGATTCTGAAGTGGGTTCAAGCAGTCAACAATACAAGGTAGATTGACAGGAACTATATGTATGTTCTCTTTAATCTTTAATTTCGGCTAACAATGTAATTGGCACTGTTGAAATACCTCATGAAACTGCAATGAAGGTAAATCCTTGATATGGGACAAGGTTTTAGTTTTCAAGAGTTTGATATCTAGTTCATGATATCCATGCTTTAAAAAACTTTAGAATATCATAGATGGAGTTTCTCTTGATAATGAACATCCACCATTATGAATGAGATGCAGTCTCCTGTGACTAGTTTGGGGCATTCACTATAATTTCCAACATTAAACTGTATCTAGTGCTTGAGTAAATATACCCATTGAAGTCTGCACCATGTCTTCTCAATTGGCATCTTCTATCTTGCATATATCTCATGAAGGTCAAGAGCATATAAAAGCACTTGTTTTATTCTGCACCAGATTCTTGACTTAAAAAGGCTTCAGCTCACTGAAGGGAGCAGCCCTTCGCTTCTGATACGTGGCAAAGAACAAAGTGACTTATCTTCTTCAGTACATCACACATCAGAGAGGTTCGATGATAATCTTGATCAGAGTTTACAACATTCCAAGATTACTAGATTTAGGCAAAGGGACAGTCTACTTCACGATCTGAAAGTTGATAATTTGCCATTTCCATTTTCTCAACTGGAGCACATGCCACCATCTTCAACTGCTGGACTTCCGTTGGATACAGAATCGTTTTGGCAGTGCAGAAGTCCGGTTGAAAGTTGTCAGGTTTGATCAATACCAGTGCAAATAATTTATTTGGACTAATATATAGTAATAAATCACCTGTTGTTTGTTTGAACACTGATCTCTTACTGTTTATAAGTGCCATGAGAGAAAGGAGAAGTTCTAATTATGTTCAGCTTATGCAGGTAAAAGTTGATACTCTGTTTCTCAATGAACCGTATGGATTGTGTTAACCATTTGTTGCCAACTTGCCATCACTTCACCATTAATTGAATAGAAACTCTGACAGGAAAATATCTATGTGAAATAAATTCTGGTTAAGCAATGCTGACTCCAGTGAAATTCCATTACAGTAAACTGCAGGGTTGATGTTTGGATTTCCTATTATAAATTTCTTGATGCTGGGCTGATGGTCCTGCTTACATTACATGCTATCTTCAAATGCATCACTTATATTAGATCTTACTCAATGCTGTGGCTACCTTATCATGGAAAATATCTGTCAGTGACTCAGTATAACCATCTGATCGTGATTTTATTTTGCAGCTGTGGACTCAAAATATGCAAGACATTGGGGTTTGTGAAGAACTTGTTTGTCATGATGATTTTAATATGCCTGATGTTGATATGACATTCCAAAACTTCGAAGAACTATTTGGAGGTGATCAAGATCCAGCCAGAGCACTGCTTGATGATAAAGATGTATCATACTCCTCAGTGTTGAAGTATATATCCCTTGACAAATCAGATAATGGCCATGCAACAGCAAGGATGGTGTGAATTTTGGCTTCCCTTCTCTTCTTTTATTTAAATTGTCCAATTACCGTAGTATAGTCACCAAGGTTCCTTTGATTAGAACATGTGCTAAATATATACCCTCCAAAAAAAATGGTTTCTGACAGGAGCATGATGCGTCAGAGGTTTCATCTATTTTCTTTAACAAAGTTCAAAACCTTGAAGGAAGCATGGATTATTGCCCATGTCCTATTCAACCATCTTCTTCAACTTTGTCATTCTGTATGTCAAGGTTCAGTGCCGAGAGCAGTGGTACCGATTGTCATGAAAGCCGGCTTTCACCCTATATTGCCACAGGGGAGACTTCAAGAAATTCACCTCATGACCAAGAGGGTGGGCGCTTTGAAGCCAGAGCAAATGCCATGACGAGGTACAAAGAGAAGAAACATTCCCGACTGTAAGTATTAGGGATTCTCTGCTCTAAGCTCTTCCAGTTTGTTTTAAGTGTTGCTACATCTCTTATATAGAGAGAACATGCAATTTTTTGTTTTCAGGCTTGTGAGAAAAAATGGATATCCATTTAGGAAAGGTACAGCTGATAACGTAAGCGGGAAAAAGGAAGAGTTGTGAAGAGGAGAGAAGACTATGACTCTGACACTGTAAATGTGACAAGAAGCTATTAAAACTTCTGACCAAGTTATTGAACTCTTGCATGCATGTTGGTCTTGTACATACACCATGGTACCAATGAGATTCTTGGGTTGGGTCCTATAGTCGGACCAATTTATCCGTTCAACTATACTCACAAGCACATAGAACACTAGGACCCCTTGCTTGTGTGAGTGCGGTGGGATTCCGACCATGAGCCCAAATTAAAAGAAAATGCAAATTGAGCAACCGCTGAAAGCCATTTTTTGTTTCTCACGTAAGTAAACATGATTTCCAACATAATGCTGGAAAAGAAAGAAACTATCATGTACCCAAGACCGCAAAGATGTTTAATGTTTAGTAGGTGGATAGAAACGCAGGGAAATTTTGGGCCATTTGGAGGAAAATCTAACAAAAACGTGCATCAGATATCTTTCAAACTATTATACATTTATGTTTGTAATGGTTACAGTCGCTGTTGTAGGCATTGATCTATGCGTCAAATCTCCTAACTTAGGCCAAGATGGTAACAGTTGCTATCAAATATAACTGTTAACAATATCAAATTCTCGAAAATTTCTTTCATTCAGAACTTGTGATTCAGCTAGTGAGTTTTGATGAGAGCAACATCCAAGCACTCATTACTGGGAAGGTGATTAATGCGGAAGCCTGTAAATTAGCAACTCCAATTAAGGACAATACCACAGGAAAATGCTTAGATGGGAACGTATTTCTTGAGAAAAAGCTGCGGCAGAAAGGAGTACAGAAATAATTAAAGAACAGAGAAAATTGACTACATACCATAAAGAAAACTAATTCCTCATTTGCAAGAGATGCTGTGAATTCATTATTTTCCAGTTTCAGGCATAAAGAAATGCTGTAACTGCCTTCAGAGTTCCTGAAAATTAGAAAACCAACCACCAAAGTTGGAAACTATGCTATAAAAGTAAAGGGATATGCAAATGTAACAACAGCAGAATGGCAGAAAGCTATAAAGATGTATCACAGGAGTGGCCTCAGGGTCCTCCTAAAAACTTTGAAGAAATATTTTCCTTTTCCAACAGCTGTTACAGACCAATTAACAAAAGACTTTTGATACATACCTCATGGTGAGACCTTTTGAAATCTCCAAAGACTCTCTTGAACTGATGCAAAGCTCGAGATAAATAGGATCTGAGTTAGGTCCAAGCATCTTCAGCAGAGGGTCATCAGAAAAGTTGTTTATGAACTGCAAACCATCAGATTTGTTGAGTTAATGTGAGAGTATATTTTGTAAAAAGCAAAACAGGTCAATTGTTGAAAAGACCCATTTCAGTAAAACTTTTGAATTTAGCAAATGAAGAACCTAAAGCCAGTTTCAAGCAGAAAAAACTTGTGTAATATGAAGAGCCTGCTCAAGCCGCTGAATTTGAATCCATTGTTCTTCTAGAGCGTTAAGCCTCTCCCAATGAGTCTCCCTGTGACATTCAAATGCAACCAAATATTATATATTTGCTTTCAATTTAGCATACACTTGAAATCTGAAGACTTGAAGCTGAAATGGGAAACAAACCTTAAGAGTGAACAAAACAGATTGCAAATAATGGATCTTCTGCGCCATGTCGTCAACACTCTTCGATACGATCGATTTTCTCATTCAGATTTTGAACACTTTCTGCTAGAACTGATTCTGCATAACAAAATTAATAACAGCTAATAAGAAAATCATGGGTAACAAATTGAAGAATTTTTTATAAAAAATAAAAATAAAGTTTGAAGTGGGAGTAAATACCCCTAACAAATAAAGCATATATAAATGTGAGTGAAAAGTGTACAAATAGGAGTGTGAAAATTGCTACCCCTAACAAATGACTTTTGAATTTTAAACAAATTCCAATTAGGAAAATCTTTACATGTTTTGCAGCATAACGCAGTTGAAAATAATCTAATTAAAACACAAAGTGCAACAAGAGAGGATAGAAATGAACCTGCCATTCCTGAGCATCTATGAGATGAGTGACAGCATCATGATTTGTTGCAATGAAAAGACATCCAGGGTTTTCACGTACACAGAGTGTCCCATACCTTCCATCACATAAACATTGAATGCCACCAGAGAAGACTGCAATACATGTGACAAGTGCACTGTATATATAATAAGACCATAATGTTTATATGGTGTTGGCACTTGGTATAGTAACATGCATATTACCTTCCATTTAATACTTTGTAACACAATGTTTGCATATACGCCTGAATTTGAGCACAAGTACAGTCCATAGAAAAATAAAGAAAAAAAATATAGTGAATTGTGGCAGTTATGTGGCATCTCTTTTTCAATCCAAACCTTCAGACGTTAAAGTTTAAATATTAAACCGAAGCCCTAATAATTTCTGAGGTAAGAAGAATCTAAAACAGAAGGTACTTGAAGCAGCAGTGATTCTTCAAATTTTAATTACAAAGGAAAGTACAGTACCTTGCAACAAAATTAATTTGCAGTGTGTTCAACACACATGCATTGACATAAACAAGAATCACCAGAACTAACTGAATTTTGTAGTAGCTGAAATTTCAGTCAAATCCAACCACAACAGCTCCAACCTAGAAGACAACGAACAAACAGATCTAGCAATATTAAAAGTCGATAGAAGAATAACGCAAGAAAGAACCTCACATGTGTATGGTCAGTTCAAGGTTCCAAAAAGGAATACAAAAGCTCTATTGAGAGAAAGTTCTACTTGTATTTCTATCAATACAAACCCAATAATAAACAAAGTTCTATGAAGCAAGAAGGGAGAGAAGTATGCATTATCATCATGCTCCATCAGAAATCCAGGCTTCAGATCTATCTTCTTCCCACCGTCTTCCTGTAAGAAAAGGAAAGCATTTTAAAAAAATACTTCTCATCACATGTAAAATAACAGGGGCATATTAATGAATAAAAGAATTATAAACAACTTTAGCCCAGTCCATCCCTCAAACTACTAATTATAAACAACAGTAACTACCTAACTTTTCCTGATACTTTAGGGCCTTAGGCACACGAGCACACAGATGCATGCACACACAAAAAGATGATGTTTTCAAAAAATTATTGTTTGGGGGGAGAGAGAAAAAAAAAAAAAAAAAAAAAAAAAAAAAATGGAGCAAACTGCATGGTCCCGGGAGAGGGGCATGCAGGCTATCCTCCTTACTTCATCCACTACCTCAACATTCATATTAAATAATTACCGGGGGAACTTTCGGTTTCTAAATATTTACTTTTACATCCAAAGAAGATGTAGACCTCGTTATGTCTCTCGAGCAACAATTTGCTATTTAGAAGGATATGTACATATTATGGACAGGGTGCCTGAAGATCTTTTAAACTATAGGTAAGCTTTTAAGCTTAATCCTAAATTTAAAATGAAACTGAAGATACAAATGCAAGGGAAATAATGACACCAAGTTTTGTGCAATGCTCTTGTTAGCCAAATGAATAACATGTCATTTGATTTCACAGACTAGGATATAAAATAGAAAAAGTACAAGTAACAGCATCATGTACTGAAACTATATGATTTCGGACTCATACTTACTGGTCCACCAAGGTATTGATATCCAGCAAGCTCAAGCTCCTTCAAGATACCTTCCTCCCCAATCACATAAACCTATAGAAGGCTCGATCATCAGTCTATTATCATCTAAGTTCATGATTAACATGCACCAGTTAATTCATTTAGTGCTAATCATGACGTACCAGATGCAAGGAAATCACAACAAAATAAAGTTATTTCAGAATACGCAAAACTTGGAATCCCCATGGAGAAAACCACTAGCAAACACAATTCACCATGCCTGAAAGGCTCAATTAGTATGTATCCATAACTGAAGACTCAACAATAAGTCAAAGTCGTCGCATAATGCAATATGGCTCAGATTTTCAATATCTACAATCTCAAAATTATAGCAGAGTAGAATTAACATTACCATGATATAAGCAAAGGCTCAGATTTTTTATAACCTCAACTAAACTAAATATCAAGATCAAATGCGATAAACATTAGCACAATACACAAACTAAATTCACATTTCTGATGAATCAATAAAACCTAACCTAAGATCAAAATCAGCAGCATTAACATTACCGCAACAAGGGGAAAAAGTAAGAAAATTTGTGATCAAACCCAACATCAAAATTAAGCGAAATTAACATTTCACAACTAAAAAGGCTCGACTTTCACAACCCAGAATCAGAATGAAGAAAATTCAGATAACCAAAATCATTTTATAGAAAGTAGAATAAGAAAATAAAAGACCTGAAACTGTCATAATTAAAAATAAAATAAGCAGAAAGCCACCTGGTATCGATGTGAGGCAACATCATTGGAATTGTCAGAGTCGTTGTCGATGAACTCGTAATCCACAACTCCAACTTCGTCGCTGTCCATAGCGGCAGCTGCGTCGTCGTCTCCGCCACTATTCGAATTTATCGGCTATACTTTTTAAACCGTATATGAGCGATCTTGTATACTTGTTTGAAGTTAAGTCAGGAAAATAAAAAAATTAATAAATAGTATAGCCGTTCGGCTGTACTCTTTTTTAACGTATAGCGGCTACACTCGCTATACTATTTAAATATTCGAATATATCGTGCGGCTATACCTTTTAAACGGTGATCTTGAGATGGAAAAGATGTTTTAAAGGTTAACTCAATTCTTTTTCTTTTAATTACATAATCTGTTAGATAAGTGAAATTTCTAATAACACTAGTATTCAAACTTAAGAAAAATATAAAGTTAATACCTTGGTCCTTATTTAGAAAATAAAATTAATAAATACATCCTCGGTGGGTTTTTTTTTCTCCTGGATTGAAAGTAGAATCAGTGTTCTTCTAACTGAAGGCATCCTCAAACCACACGTTACATCCCTTGGTCATTTATGTAAAACTCAACAAATTGTAAACATGCAATTTACTGCTTAAAAGTCTTTACTTGAGGCTGTAGGTACATAGCCTATAGTTATTACACTTTGGATTGCAATGGAACTATATATACACAAGAATTAGTATCCGTCTCTTAAGTACCCTCTCATTGCCACAAGCTCACAACTGCTTATATTAAACAGATATGTTATTAGACAGCTTATTGACCATTGATTCAAATCTGTAAAATGTTGCCACTGGGGTGTGGACGAAGGTGAGCTAGCCATCATAAGGGAATCTGCATGGCCGATAAAAAAATAAAACTATTGAGCTCACCATTGGGAAACAAAAGTCGAATCGATCTCATGAGGCATTTGCGACCTATCCAAACGTGTCAATTGTCCTTTTGTGAATAATCTACCTAAATGTACCTATTATTAAGGGAACATAAATATGAATCCTAAAAATTGAGGATACGAATTTTAGTCAACTTCATTAATTTGAGTGAAACATTTATAGGAATAAATCTTACAGAATTTTGGATTTTGTGGGTAAAGTAGACGAAGGTTCACATATATAATGATCACTATGCCATATCCCATCGCATGTTTGGCTAATAATTGTACATGCGGCTGTGTAAAATCTAGAAGATGAATGTCGTTTGTTGTCACAGTTTGAAATTGCATCCTCTCCATCCTATGTCTAGTTTGATTGCGCATATAGACCAGTTTTGGAATGTGAAAATGCCGCCTCTCTTTACCAAATTTGATTCAATTTTTCATTTTCCTAAATTTAAGTTTCATTTTCCCTGCAAACCTATTCAACACCAATGTTTTGTTGGTTTGGCCTAAGTTTCCACGAAATTCAAAGTTTAACATAATGCAAGGTTACATAGAGTAAAATTTTGACCCAAAAAATGAATTAATTTTTAGATCCTTAATACATCACCCGTCACATTGTGCAGTTCCATAGAATTGAGATAAATACAATGCTAAAATATATATATATATATATATATTGTTTTTGTGGAAAAGAACTAGGGCTTCATTTGGTTTACAAAAAGAATTTTATGGGAAATTATTTCTCATCTAATTTCCCAAGGGATGAGAAATGGAAGATTCATTTCTCATGTTTGATAATATTGGAAAAGTAACCATGAAATACCACTTTATTCATTTCCCATATTTGGTTTGTGCAAGAACGTAAAACAAAGTTTTTTTTAATTTTCCAGTTATATCAATATGAAATCAAATAATAAAATAATGCATTTAATGCTATATTGTAATTCTAAATTGTCATAAAAAGTGTGCATTTAATGCTGACTAGTTTTCTGAAACTTTTTCATGGAATGGGAAAATGAAACCCAAGGGGGAAGAATGGTTATATTTCCCCCTTATCCATGTAACTGGCAACCATTTCTCATACATGAACTTACCAAACTTGGGAAACCAATTGATTTCCCATCCCCAAACCTCCTTTCCCATAAACCAAACACAATCTAGAAGTAAAGAAGTGAGCTTATTTCATATATTTATAAATTAAATAAAAAACAGTAGGCTTCTAGCCCTCAATACCAAACATAAAAAAGAATTGGAATTCTGGCCCTCAACACCAAAAGGAAAAAAGAATTGGGCTTTGTAAGACGAGGCCCAATACTGAATGGGCTTAACCCCAAAAAAAATGAATAAAACCCAATCCAAATAGATCAATGTAAGAATCTTCTATCGTCTTGGACACAATAGATAAAACCTCATCCCCTTTCATTTTCATCATGTGCTCAATCAAATATTTTTGGGTTTTTAGGTCTAATGGTCCCTGAATTTTGACTCGATTCGCATTTTTGGTCCCTTAATTTCCAAAATCGTTCTCATGATCCTTCAACTTCAAATGAACAAATGGTCATGCCGTCAATTTTATTAACTTTTTTTGTTAAATGCAGGGGCAAATTTGTATTTTTGTATTAAAACCAAAAAATTAAAAATAATAATAAATCTCTCTCCCGATTTCTTCCCCCACAACCACCCTCCACCTAGCGCCCCTCTTCAATTTTTGTACAAAGGTCAAGGAAGACTAGCTTACTTCCCTGGGTTCTAGGTTGGAGGGGGAGGGGGGAGGAGGAGGGGTTCTGGGTTCTGGGTTCTGGGTTCGTTAGGGGTTAGAGGTCGGTGGTCATGGGGGAAAAGAAAATCGAAAGGGAGGGGGCACTGGGTGAAGGGTGGCTGTGGGTTGCCCTCTTTGCTCTCTCTTCCTCTCATTTAAATCTTGAGTATGCAAGTAAACTTCCTTGTTCCTGATAGAGGGAGAGGAGAAATCTAGGTTGGGGGGGAGAAGAAATATGGGGAAGAAATTGGGATAGAGGGAGAGAAAAGAGAGAGATTTATTTTTAATACAAAAAATACCATTTTGTCTTTGCATTTAACAAAAAAGATAACAAAATTGACGATATGACCATTTGTCATGACAAAACTGAAGTTAAAGGATCACATAAACGATTTTAAAAATTGAGGAACAAAAATCCAAATCGAATCAAAGTTTAGAGACTATTAGTCCTATAAGAGCATCTCCAACCGATATGTCAAACGTGCCACATAGACATGTAACAGCTATAAATAACATCTCATATCACTCCAACCGATGTGTCGAAGCTGATGTGGAATGAAGGCTGGAGGTTGAGATGTTATTTTTGACATCCCAAAAGCAAGATGTCAAATGAATATTTTATTATTTTTTCTTTTCTTTTCTTTTTAACTAAAAATGAATCAACACTAAAATGTAATAAAATAATAATTTAATTTGACTTATCGGGTGGAGTGTAAAGTTGCGTAAGATGTCAAATTGCCACATCAGCCATCAAATTTAAATTTGATGTTTGGTATTTGACATCTCCCTTGGAGATGCTCTAAACCCTAACATTGCTTCTCTTTTCTAGCGAAGGCAGCAAAGTAGGGTGGGGGCTTGCTAATTAATTAACTATTTTTAATAAGAGCCCCACTTGGCAGCTGGCGATTCGAAAGGAAACAAATCTGACCTAATAAAAAAGAAGGGACCTAATCTGGCAGCTGGCGATTCGCATGGTTGTGATGAACCCATTAGGTAATAGGTCCTAACTCCTAGGGGTGGTTGCGGTTCGGTAACCGCGAATTTTTACCCAAACCGCGAACCGACCGACTATTTGCGGTATGGGGATTTTCCAAACCGCGAACCGACCGTAATTTGCGGTAAACCGCAAATTGCGGTCGGTTACCACGAATTAGCGGTTTAAAACCGCAAGTTCTCAAGCATTCACAGAAAATATAAATTCACAACCTAAATAAATAAATACACAACCTCAAATTCTCAAACATATTATAAATTCACAATCTCCTCAAGCATATTATAAATTGACAACCTAAAGAAAATTAAAGTTACAATTCCAAGCATTCCAATTAAATTTATACTTCTCAAGCATTCCAAATCCAAATCCTTTAAAGTTACAAACCAAAAGCAAAATGAATTAAAGTTACAACCAAAAAGAAAAATCCAATTCAAAGTTAATTAAAGTTACAATATAAAAGGAAAATGCAATGCACCAATGTTACACATTAAAGTTACAAACTCAAGTGTTGGTGGTGAGTGGATTTGAGGAACCCCGGTGAGTGGATTTGAGACAGAGAGAGAGCTTGAGCTGAGTGAGCGTGCTGGAGGTTCAGTTGAGAGAGAAGAGAGAATTGAGATCGAGAGAAAGAGAGAGAGGAGATGGGTTTGATTCGGGTTTGTGAGAGAGGCGTATTTTCAGAGTTGAGAGAGAGAGAGAGAGTCGAATGAGAATCAGGGAGAGTGAGATCTCAATTGCATCTAACGGCTAGAGATAAGGCTACAGACAATTAAATGGAAATAAGGCTGTAGAGTATAGCCGTGCGGCTATACTTTGCGGTTTGCGGTAACCACGGTATTTGAATATCAAATACCGCAACCGCAACCGCAAATGCGGTTCGGTTCTTAATACCGCAAATGCGGTTCGGTTTACCGCGATTGCGGTTTTATTTCGGTAAATTATCGGTTGGTTTTTGCGGTTTTTCGGTTTTTCGGTCCAAAATGCCACCCCTACTAACTCCCAAGCCGCAATGCCTAATGTAGCCCTAGTGCTGTCGACGTCCCATTGGCCGAAACAGTTAGGCTTCTGCATCCCACATGTGAAACATGGCTAACACCAATTGCTCCACTCCACGTAATCTCTCTCACAATTGGATCCGGTGTGTGGGTCCCAGTGTCATGAGCCACGTCGGACATTTACGCTTATTTATAATTAAAAAAAATCGTCTACACGTCCCAATTAAACAACTTCTTTCAGTTCGAAAAAAATTAAAGAAATTTTTTTTTTGGTTGGATCCCATAAAACAACTTAAAGGCGGAGAAAATAACTTCGAAGCACCGTGAACTATAGCTTTATTTTTTTCAGTGGAAGTCGTAGTCTTTGTGTGAAATGTTTTTCCAGAGAAGAAGAGCTGAGCCTGAAACTGCTTTCCTCTCGGGAAATAATTATGGGTATTTTTTTCTCTCTCTTTTTCTTATTTAGGATTTTTAAGTTTCTAAATGCAAAATGTATATTTGGGGGGTTATATATATATATATATATATATATAATGGGAATATTTTAAAAATGTTTTCTTTCAGTTTGGATCGCCTAAGATGAATTGAGCTTGTTGTTTACCCAGGGTAACAATGACGGGTATTTTTTTTTCTCTTTCGTTTCCCTATGTTTGGAAGATCTGTCTTTGAATTTGTGTTCACTTAGATTTCTTTTTGTTCTTGTTCCGAAGTTTTCTGGGCTTTAAACTTTTCGATTTATTATTAGCTTATCAATCGATTGGGGGTTCTTGTTAGTGCTTCTTCTTTGGATTTAACTTTTACTCGATTTTATTGGTTATATAGCTTTTTATTTATTGCAAAACAAATTTTTGTTGACCTTTAAACTGTTTATGGTGTTTCATGTTTAAGCTAAATAGTTGGCACTGTCGTACATCGTACTTTATTTGACTAATTTCTTTTGTTATTTTTTTTTAGTACAAGTGATAGTCACTCTAAACTAGAGAGAGGGGAATTTCTTACGCACACACAACTATGATGCATAAGAATTCGATCTTGAGACCTCTTATCTGTAAGTCATTGTCTTTTTTCACTTGACCCCATTTGGCAATTTCTTTTGTTAGTAGAGGAGATAAAAAGAAAGTTCTATATTCAATGATAATAATTTGATGCAATGCAAGTACTATAATATAAGTATAAATTGACAACAACAAAGAAGCGAGTGTATGAACTGTTTAATCAAACTTAAAAAAGGTCAATTCAATTCTAAATTATCACAAGTGTGAATATCGTGGCAGCAACATCAAAGAGGTTTTGAAGTTGAGATTCGGAGGAAATTAGTGAAGTAGAAGAGAAACCAAATGGAGAAAGCTTGTGAGTTGTGCTTGGTGCTAAGGCCAGTTGTATACTGCAAAGCTGATTCAGCACATCTGTGCCTTCCCTGTGATGCAACGGTTCATTCTGCTAACCCAATTGTTGGCTGCCATCACCGAACCATTCTATGTGATTCGTGCAAATACCGGTCCGTGGATATCGAGTGTTTGGATCACCTGATGTTTATGTGCCGTGTATGTGACGCGAGCCTGCACAGGAAGTGCTCTCCCCATGGCCAGCATCGGAAACGGACGTTGGCCAGCAGTTTCACAGGTTGCCCATCTGCCAAGGACTTTGCAGCATTTTGGGGTTTCAAATTGGATGAATCTGATGGAGTGGGATCAAACAGTCAAAGATTTAAGAAGGTCGAGATCAGAAGGTAAAAAAAAAGCAGAAAAATACTTGAGTAATTGTAATTACACTGATTAAAAGTGTGTGCATGATCATATCTTCTTATAAGTTATAAGAGATGTATATTATACATATATCTTGCAGATATCTCGTGGTAATGGTCATGGAGGTCACTATCAGAAAAGAAGTACTGGCAATAGTTTTATTCTGGACCAGATTCTTGACTTGAAAAGGCTTCAGCTGAGTCAAGATCAACCAAATCAAGAGAAATCTTCTTCAGTGCATGAACATCAAAACCCTTCAAGGAGTTTGGAACATGGTCTTGATCATCATCGTTTACAACATTCCCAGGATGATCTCGGCCGTACTGGATCTCAGCAAAGGGACAGCTGTCTACCTGATCAGGGTCTGATGGTCAAATTTGATCCTTTGCCCCTTCCATTTCCTGAACAGCTGGAGAAATATTTTCCATCATCTACAAGCACTGTAGGATTTCCATTGCATAAAGAATCATTTTGGCAGGGTAGAAGCACGGAGCAGAACAGTCCGGTATATGAAAATTGCATATGAATGAAGAGTTCCAGTTTTCATTCTGTTATGTAAGTGGTCATCTGAATTCTCTATGGCTTGATTTTGCAGCTGTGGTCTCAAAATATGCAAGACCTTGGGGTTTGTGAAGAACAAGCTTATGATCATCACGATCCCAATACACCTGATGTCGATTCGACATTCCGAAACTTCGAGGAATCATTTGGAGGTGATCAGCAAGATGTGTCATACTCCTTCATGGAGAAGAAGGGCCATGCAAGAACAGCCAAGGTGTGTGTGAATAATGATTTCCATTTTCTTGGTTCTTTTCTTTCTTGATTAAGAAATAAGTTATTGTGGTTGTTGTTTTATCACCATGACACTGACTTTTGGTTCCATTTTTCAACAGAGATAAACTTACGAAGGCAATCTCAGCAGTTCTTGAAAGTGCTATATAGAGCTCCAGCAAGTTTGTCTATATTTTAATCATGAGTGTTTTATTATTATTATTCTTTTATACTATACTATTATGTTTCGTGTACATAACCTCACAGATAAACAATGTTGTCTACCTGTGTTAATTACACATAAATAAACAATGTTTTCTTCTTAATGTAATTTTATTTTGCTATTAGTGTAGCCCCGTTGACCTGCTGCTGACTTATCCTATTAGGGTAACAATGTCAGGGTGATATATGCCGTTGATCAGATCTCGTGGTCAACAAATTCAACGGCCTCCATAAGATTTAGCCATCCACATGATATTCACAGGCCCAAATGAAAATCCAGCTGGGAAGAGCTGCGCGGAAGTAGCGAAATATGGCCAACTGTCATGAAAATGAAAGAGAAACTATAAAGCAGTTTGTTTAAAGGGAAGCTTAATTATATTGAGGGACTTGACAGCAATGCAATAAGAAAGTGTTTGCTAGAGCAGTGGCACTGCTATTGGGAGGGAATGTGGGATCTTATTATGACTCACCAAACATCTGATACTAGATTTTGATGGGAGAGCTATAAGAGAAGCAGGTAGTTAAAGCTGTGATCAAGAAGCAACCTCCTTCCCTAAATAAAATCATGATGCCTTTTTTTACCCAAAATAAATAAATCATGATGCCTTTCTCATCTTAATGCTACTACTTCTCGTGATCTGTCTATGTCATCACCAAAGCTGAATATTGAAGAGCGCTACCCCCAAAGGGAAAATAAAACCAAGATCACCAAGATCACCAGTTACGTGATAGATTTTCCAATGTGATTGTCAAACTGTCACGCAGTGTTATTAATTAGTTAATATTATGATAATTATATTAATTTATTAACCGTATATTAAATTTATGAAATATCAATCACTCGTCTCGTATTATAATTCTTGAATTAATAACACTACGTGATACTGACCCAATAGTTTCTCTTCATGCTCACTTTCTCTCCTTAAGCTTCCAAAACAAGCAATTACAATATGATATTGTGCCTCTCTAGCTAACCGCAAGCAGATCATGTTTGACAGCTTGCATAAGCTGTCTCACCTCTGAACATCTTTAATTTCTCAATAAAGAGATAAATATGTAGAGCCATTAAGATTGAGTAACTTGGAACTCTCATGCACAATGATTTTGATATGATTAGAGATATAACAATTTCTTAAAGTAATTGTTTACAAGGAGATTAGCACTAATATTAATTCAGTTTCTGCCTCTACAATATTATTGAACAACTTATCAAACCAGATTGAGCATATCATATGACCTACTGAAAGTGAAAACCATGGCTTACATGGAAATAAACATTGGTCACAATGTGATTGTGCCTAATGGTAAAAACATAAATGTGAGGGTAATTCAGTCATTTAAAGTGGATGTTTGGGATTTGTAACATTTATTGCTGGTGTGCGACTGCGCACTGTGCATGTGACTACGGACTTGCTATTTGTAACTTCGTGTGTGAACACACAGAGAGTGAAAGTATCCCCTGCGGGTGCGTGTATCTTTAACATCATAATGCCCCCCACATCTGGTGAGTTAGAATGTTTAAGGACCGTTGGATCAACTGCATTACAATCCAAAGGCTCAAATTAGCTGATGAAACAACTTCCTGCTCCTCAGTCTTAACTGAATCGATTCCTCAAATGACGAAACAGCCCCTACATAATTCAAAGAAGCTCGGATAAGAGTGAGGGCAGATCAAGTAAAAAACATATAGCTACCTTGATCATAAAGCTGATATGGCATTCGGTTAGCACTGTCTTCAAAACAGTTTTGGATTCGTTTTGCTCCTTCCCTTTCCCTCCAAATGCCTCCACCTATATCCCCACGCCTATAAAACAAGCCCTGTACCAGAGCACCTCCATTCGTCACTCTTTTCACTCGAACCGATCGGAGGATCCAGAGCCTCCTCCGTTGCTTCTGAAGGTAAACCATTACTGTTCCTCTCTCTCTCTCTCTCTCTCTCTCTCTCTCTCTGTGTTTAACTATTTCTATAACAGCTTTTGTAGTCTCTGCCTTAATTCTTTGTTCGATTTCTCATCAATTTGTTTGATATATCTTTTTATTTTCCTTCAAAATTATTGAAATCTGGATCTTCTTCTTTAGCTTAATTAGCTTGTTGCGGAGATTTAGAGCAGTACTCTGTAACATTCCAGATTATCAAACGGAAGCTTCCAGGCAATTTTCTTGATTATAAGGCGAGATAGATTTCTTGTTTTTGTTTTTGTTTTTTTTCTAATTGAAATTGACGCTGTAATTCATTTACAGCAAAACTCCAACTGCGGAAATGCACAACGACACCGCCTCCTCCACCGCCAATGGCGGCCTCGCCATCTCATCGCCGTTCAAATCGCAGCCTCGCCCAGACGACGCCGTGTTCTCTTCCCTCTATTCCGCCATCTTCGATCGCAAGCCGTCCCTCGCTCGATACAACGAATCGGAGCCCGACGCGTCCTCAAATCTCCCCCACCGCCAACTCTACCACTCTCTCCTCGTCCAAGACCACCAGGAGATGGTCAACCGCCATAGCCGCACCCTCAAGCAACTCCACGAAGCCTCCGAGGAAGCCGACGCTCTCCGCCGCGAGAACATTCATCTCCGCGCCCTCAATCTCGAGCTCAACAAGCATCTCAGTCTCCTTATCCACGCCTCCGTCCAGAAACAGTTCGTTTCCCCCGGTTCTGTGGAGACGACACCGTTTGGGATCGTAAATAGGCTTCACGGCATGAGTATTGATGACAAACGAGCAGAGGAGGATGAGTCCGACGAGAGCCCTACCAGCGTGGTCGAGAGCGAAGGCGCCGACGCCGAGAATATTGATGCGGAGAGGTTTACGCTGCCTAAGAGCATATCTGTGAGGTCTAATGGATACGTGAAGGTTGCTCAGCCCGGTACTAGCACTGCCGCTGGGACTCGGGCCGCGACTCGGCCTCGCACCGCCAATACATTCAACGCTTCAGTAAGTCATTCCCGATTTATTCTACTGTTGAATTTTCTTCTATTTATTTTACTTCGTCTGTTTGTGTGGCTCACTACTAAGAAACGTAGCGATTGATTTTTAATTTTTTATTGCGGTAATTAGACTGCTACTGTCAGGTTTAACTAATTAGATTGTGAAGTGGAATTGCTTGAAAATGTTCACCAATGGAGGATGAGATCCATCGAGTACTAGGAAGAACTTGCTTGATCTCATCGCACGTGTTTCTTAAACTTGAGTAGTGCAAAATAATGCAGTATCTGTTCATATTTCAATAAAACCAGTTTTTCCTTTGCTGCATTTTTGCTTCAATTTTATTTTTTGCCGTGGAAATCTTATTTGGGATCCTAGGATTTAGGCTGCAATTTCATTTACATGAGCAATATGCAGTTATTGTTTGACATTGGGATGATGTAAAGAGCCCAAACACCCAGTTTTGATTCATTTCACAGTCTACGTCAATAATCCATATGCACACTGCACCGACAACGCGTAAGAGAGTCATTTGTTATAGACAATGCATAATGCATTTAGTACATTGACACAGTAGAGATTATATGATTCCGTCTTTACAATTCTTGAAATATTACTCAAATGTACGTACTGTCCCAATTAATGTTTTTTGTGTACTGATGGTGGTGGGCACTGATCACGGTGATGCAGCAAAAGGTGTACGTTCCTACTGGAGGGATGAAGGAGCAGGAGCCACTTGAATTGGAGGTGTACAACCAAGGCATGTTCAAGACTGAACTCTGCAACAAATGGCAGGAGGCCGGTGAATGCCCTTACGGAGAACAGTGCCAATTTGCACATGGGATTGAGGAGCTCCGCCCGGTGATTCGACACCCACGCTACAAGACGGAGGTCTGCAGGATGGTCCTTGCTGGTGTTGCCTGCCCATATGGTCACCGATGTCACTTCCGCCACGCCCTCACTGAGAATGAAAAGTTCATGGGTCCAAATAAGCCCAGGGCAATGAAGCTGGCCAGGTAAAATATCAGATTTCATAAATATGATGGCGACAGAAGAGTAATAAGATCGCAACTGAGGTTTGAGTAAACAGGAGAGCCAAGTGTTTATATTACATATGCCTCCAATGGGAACCGTATATAACACCAATTATATGGTAAGTATAAAACAAGGACATGCATAACATAACAATAATTAGTGTCATCTATGCTCTGCGGTGAAAGTGATCAGGAAAGTGTGCAAGGCGTCGTTGCGCGGATGGTGGACAAAAATGAGGAGGTTTATTGAGAGATGTGAGCTCTTGTTTCGTTTTGTATCTGTTGTTTTGGGGTTCCATTAAATATGACTTTTGAAGCATCATATATACATACATTAGGAATTTGGTGATGTCAAACCGAGCACCCGAAGAGACTCTCTTTATCATGTTGTTGTTTGGTAATGATTGGACTCATATCATTCAAAAAGCTATTCCTCTCACCCAATTAATTTTCCTCATGTATTTCTTTAAATTTCCCTTGGATTGAATGATTGTCCATAATTGCCCATTTTCTTTAGGGTAATGATTTCCCCACTTCAATTTTATTCACTTACACTTTTTTTTAGCTATAAAATAGAGTGTAAGTGGATAAAATTGGAGTGAAAAAATCACCACTCTTTCTTTATAATTCCTTTGTTTGTGCTGCGGTATCCGGGCAGGGCCAGATGCTGAACTTGTTAACTAATGCTCTTCTTTTATTTGTTGTTTATTCATTTTTTTATTATTATTATTCTTCATATTATTATTACTTCTTTTTTCTTTATAAACTTCCGAATTATTATTTCAATTTGATGTCGAGATTCATTTCCAAATTAAATGAATTTTGCGGGGGGAACAGAAACCCATTCATCTTTGGCTATTAGCCCAAATAACCGAGATAGTGAAGAAGATGGAGAAAAATTTTAGGCGCAGTAATATTAAGAAAGGGCTTCCGATTAGTCTAGCCCAACAACTGATCTAATAGAGGGGAGGGAAGAATTTTAGGCCCACTAATCTTAGCAAGTTATTATTATTTCTTAACTGAAACGAACTGTGCTCTTTTTCAGGAATTTTCTTTTTCTTTTTCTTTTTTGATGAATCTCAGTAAAAGAATTTAACTTGTACGAAAATATTAAACCAAACTTCGATTAGAAATCCGATCAAAGAAATAAACTTTAGTGTTGGAGAAGTAAAAGATGTGTTGGGCTAGTGAGTTGGGTTTCTGTATTACACGACCCAAGTTTTGTTCATTCTACAACAAATGAACCAGTCCAAACTACAACCCTAGGGGGTTGTTCAGTACGGCGGATTATTATAGATTGGACAAAATCTTGAGACAAATTTTTTTAAAATTTTCTTTAAAGTGATAATATTTTAATTATCAACTATTTTAATTATAATTCCAAGGCCAAAAATTGGTATTAAATTTTCCAAAATTTGCCTATATTTTAAGAACACTTCCCTAATGCAAATTGTCAAATCCTCACTAAGTAATTGCAAACACAACATACAATTGCCATCACAGTTTGCAAAAACAAAATGTCTGCTTGTCAATTGCCAAACCATTAGCCACATGACCTCTACCCTTTTATTCTTCCTTTCTTCGTTCAAACATGGTGAGACAAGCTCCAAACCATCCCAACATCATATCAAGCAAAAGTCATATAATATTTATAGACGCAAAAGTTAGATATTTTATATATATGCAAAAGCCATCCACATGGCTTGAAACTATAAATATCCATAATTCCAAACTAAGACTAATAAAGTAGCAAAAACAAAAGCAACAACAGCTACTCGTGGTGTTTCCAATTTATCGGATGTTGCCTCCTTCAAGCATTTTCATTGAGAAGTTGCTCAACAAAGGCTTTTTTTTTATATCAGCATCAAGTGTCTTGAACAGAGATATTGTTGAGCTTAAATGGTGAAGAGTTTTCAACCATATCAATATGGCTGAGAATAGTTGCAAACAATGCCATTACAAACCTGGCAAACAATACAAACAATCCAAACAAGATTGCCAAAATCATGAGTTCTCTTATTGCAAATGGAATTAATTGATGGCAAGAAGCAAATCTTGTACAGTTGCACTTTCCAAAAGAAAACAAAGTTATGATTTGGATAACAAAAGAGATTGAGCTTTTAGCAAAAAAAAAAAAACACAAGACAGGAGGTGAGCTGGAAACAACATTTGGAATAAGCTGTACTTCCAACCATGCTCTTCAATTACCTTTGTTGGTTTTAAACATTATCAAAAGATAGAAAATATAAAAATTTGAGTTTTGAAATAAAAACACAAAAAAAAATTTCTTTGGAAATCAAAAGAAAACTTGGTTTTTCCTTTTTTTTTGGGTGGTGTTGTTTCTTTGGAAATCAATCCAATCAAACCCTTTACTTTTGTGAAACTCCACTCTCTTTCAAATGTGAGAACAGAGCAGAAGCACAACAAGAAGAATCACTAGTAGAAGCAGATCAAAATTGAATCCCAAAGTTTCTTTTCTCTCAACTTTCTGCTAATTTGGGTTTGTTTATGTGTATCCTCTATGCTCTTTCTCCCAAGCTCCTTCTTCAACCTTCTCTTCCGCAGCAAAGAAAATATCAGACATGAAAACCATTATTCTTTTTTCTATCTTTTTATATCATCATCACGCGACTATCCACAATGCTCCAATTCCACCCATTAGTTTGTTCATAGCTTCTCATTCCAAACAAAAACCCCATAATCAAAACAATTCAAAATTGAAAACCTTAGAAAAATACCGAATTATAATCCAACGAAAATTTGTCACGTGCTTAGTGGAATTGCTTAAAGTAGTGGCTACGTGCCTTTAGTTGTTGAATACTGATAGAGTTTCATGTCTTTTAAACTTTAGTTGAGTAATTGTAGGAGTCTAGTTAGTCACTCTCATAGTGGAGAGATGTCGTGAGAAAGTATTTCCTATTTTTATGCTTTAAAGAGTCTGGTCTATGTATAAATTTGAATGGCTTTTCATTAATGGGACAGCAGATATTATTCCTACTGTTAGCTTGTCTAAGTTGGAGGTTTTGGGTTCCCTCGAAGCAACCATTTCCATCCAATTCTTATCCTAACTGAGCTTTCTAGTAACCATAGGAGGCCGTAAAAAGAAGGCTACCTACCAACTCCCTATATCCCAATCACACGAGCTATGTCCCAAGCATGTAACATCTTGGTATCAGAGCTGAGCATGGAGGAGCAACGGGTAGCACGCTTGGAAACTGAAGTGGTCTCCCTAGCCACTGGACAAGAAAGAATACTCAAGGAGATGCAAGAGATGTTCTCAGCCATGAATGCTCACTTGGATCAAATTTCTCGAACTGGTGATGGATCCAGTATTGCTTTCAATGGTGGCGGAGGCCGAACATTTGGAAGTGGATCCACCACTCCAAATTCTGGCAACTCTTACCTTCCTAAAATGGTGAAGCTAGACTTTCCTCACTCAACGGATTGGAAGATCCCACAAGTTGGATATGTCGTGTTGAATAATTCTTTGACTTTCACCATACTCCAGAAATGGAGAGAGTTCTATTTGCATCATTTAATCTTGAAGGGGATGGGCAATTGTGGTTCCAATTGATGAAGAAGGAAACCCCTATCACCACATGGGTGACTTTTAAGAAATGACTGCATGACAAGTACGACCCCACCAAATTTCAAGAATTTTTTGGTGATCTAATGAAGTTACAACAATCAGGTTCAGTACGAGACTATCAAATCGAGTTTGAGAAATTATTGATTAGATCAGGAAGACTAACTCCAAATCAACAAGTTGGTTGTTTTGTGAGTGGTTTGAAGGAAAATATCAAAACTGATGTGCAAGCCTGCAAGCCGCAAACACTCTCCGTTGCCATCGGATTGGCTCGCCTATATGAGTCTCGTAATCATACAACTAGGCGATACTTAACTTCATAGGTGAAGCAGCCTTGTACCAATGGGGTTACGAAGTCTGACAATCGACAAAATTTCATGCCAATTAAACGGTTGTCCGCGGCTGAACTAAAGGAACGAAGAGATAAAGGACTTTGCTACAATTGTGATGAGAAGTTTAGTCCTGGTCATCATTGCAAAAAATTATTTCTCATTGAAGGTTGCTGGTCAAATGAAGAAAATGACGCCAAAGATGTAGATACTCATGAAGTGGAATTGGGTGAAGAAGTATTTCCTGAAATATCTCTCCGTGCTATTTATGGTGGTCGAACTCCACAAAAATGCGGGTGCACGGAAAAGTGGGTAAGCATCAAATGACATTCTTGGTGGATTCTGGAAGCACCCACAGTTTTCTAAGTAATACAGTTGCACAGAAAGCTGGTGTTAATCCCACTGGCTATGAAAAGTTTGAGGTGTCAGTTGCCAACGGTGAAACTCTTACTAGTGCTGGGCTTTGCAAAGGGGTGTGCTTGCTAATCTAAGGAGTCTCCATCATTGTTGATTTATATCTTCTTCCTTTAAAGGGTTGTGATGCTGTTTTGGGCGCACAATGGTTGCGCACGTTAGGGCCAATTGTTTGGGATTTCTCTAAATTGCAAATGACATTTAATGTGGGTGGACAAGATGTGGAACTCAAAGGGGTGCCACCTCCAACAAAAAAAATTGAAAGTGAACGTGACGTTTGGCAAGAGGTGGAGGAAAATAAAGATGAAGCTCTTTCCCAAGTCTATTCCCTCGATCTCAATTTTTCAAATGTCAACCTTGAGGACAAGGTTTTTTCAATGGGGGAAGGAATGTCACGTGCTTAGTGGAATTGCTTAAAGTAGTGGCTACGTGCCTTTAGTTGTTAAACACTGATAGAGTTGCATGTCTTTTAAACTTTAGTTGAGTAATTGTAGGAGTCTAGTTAGTCACTCTCATAGTGGAGAGATGTCGTGAGAAAGTATTTCCTATTTTTATGCTTTAAAGAGTCTGGTCTATGTATAAATTCGAATGGTTTTTCATTAATGGGACAACATATAATATTCCTACTGTTAGCTTATCTAAGTTGGAGGTTTTGGGCTCCCTCGAAGCAAACCTTTTCATCTAATTCTTATCCCAACTGAGCTTTCTAGCAACCATAGGAGACCATATGAAGAAGGCTACCTACCAACTCCCTATATCTAATCGCCCAATCACACAAGCCATGTCCCAAGCATGTAACAAAATTAACCAATACAAATCTTAATTTTCATTAGATTAAGCTAACTACAAACAACCTCATAATCAAAACTTAAATCAAACCCAAAAATAGTAGATTGAACCTATCAAATATCATCAAGGAGAGAGACAAACATAGAAGAAGAGTGGAAAGAGAGAAAGAGAGTTGAACAACTAACCTTGAGTGAGTGAGAGCAGAGCACAATAGAGGAGGAAAATAGAGCAAAGCGGAAAAGGAGAGCCAGAACAACGTCGAAAAGAAAGAGAGCAACGTCGAAGAGGATAATGGCGGACTCAATAGCAACTTCGTTATTTAGCGGCACCTCTTTAGAGTTTGATATTTTGTGCCAACGAGCGAAGCCTTTTTTTAAGTCCCGGATTGTATAATCTCATTTAACTTCACGAAAGACTACACCAAACATGGGTTAATAGTGTTTTTTAAGCTAAACCAATTCAAGTCAATCCAAGGAAGTGTACCAAACAGGGCCTAGGTTGGAGAAAATGGGATCGAGGTAGGGCTACGTGGCAACCCATCGTCTATATTTAAAGTAGGGTTGCTGCTGATACGACGAAGCGAAGCGACGCTATTCGAAAGAGAAAAAAAAAAAAAAAAAAAAAAACAGAGGCTAGATGAGAGAAGGGGGAAAGGGAGAAAGAGGTTGAGGAAGTTTTGGGATTGGGTGGGTTTGGTAAGAAAACTTGATCATATATCTCAATGAACTCGTCTCCTACCGATTCCCACCCATTCCGATGATTTCCTCGGTCTCCTCCTTTTCCCCTTTGCTGTCCCCTGTCCAACCCTTTTCCCGACTATTCTCTGTGCAATCAGATGCTGCTGGTAAGTTGGTAAGATCGCTCGGTCTCTCTTGTTAATTTTCCTTTTTTCTTAATCTAAAGAAATCCAAATTTCTGTCAAGTTTTCGTTATTGTAGGACCAAGTGAAAGACGAAACTGAATTGAGCTAAAAAAAACAGAGAGTAAAAGAACTGAGAATCAGATTCATATTTCTCTTTCCTTTGATTGATTTATTATGACCCGTAATTATAGTTGTTCTTACTGTGATATCAACTGTATATTCGTAACTGAAACATACAAGACTGGTTCGCTTCGCTGCCTGCCCAGCCCAAGTTTATTGGTTTTAATTACCCCTTGATTATGTAATTTAATTCTGTAAGTTCTATTTCCCATGTATATATAAATAAAAGAAAATAGCCTTCCTTCATACGCAGCTTATTATTTCCTTTGCGTAAGAGGAAAGAAAAACTGGATGAGTGTGAGGCCGTTTTCATTGTCATGTAACAGAAAATTAAGAAATAAATAATGCTCAACTTGTACGCTAATATGAATTCGGCTTTCTGATATTACGAGATGTGGGCAGCAAGGATATTGGCCGGCCCTCCAATGGGAACTGCCTTTGGCTCTACCTCTACCAAAGGCGCGGCATGCCGATTGTTGAGTTTCCATCACTTGTTTTATAAGCTCAACTTGAGTTCAGTTCCTCGAACCAATTTCCATTCGAATTCGAGGGCATTTGGAATTTCTTGCTTTACCTTTTCACAAATTGGGTTTTTCAGCTGCGATTGAAAGCTCGCAAATGGTATTGCAGCATAAATTTTCCCTTTTTCCTGAATTTAACAATTCTTCAGTAGGCTCTGTCCGGAGCTTTCATCTTTTGGGTTTTCATTGGGCCGATTGTTGGGCTTTCATCTTCGATTGCAAAATGTATTCTCCATTTACCAAGAAATTAAAAAATAAAAAAGTATTTTAAGCGGGAGTTTTAGAAATTCGACGCAAAGAACTCTCAATTACCGTCTGACCAAAAAAAACAAAAAACAAGTCCCAAAAAATGCCTTGCTGGTATTTACCTTTTTAACCCCTGAAAAACACTTGAGTCTCCTCACGGGTTTCTTCTAGAGTGTAAGTCTCAGAAATATATATATATATATATATATATGGGAGAGGGAAAGTGACTTTACTCATAACTACTACTCAAAAACAGAGTGGAGATCAAAAGCAGGCAGCAAGAGGAAATGGACATTTTTGGGTGAGAGGTTGCCGGAAAGAATACATAATATTCATCCAAGTTTTGATATTAAATTCTTTCCGAAACCTCCCATTCCAATGATTTCCAGCTATTCCTTTCTTTTCTCCAACCCAACCCAACACAAGTAGAGTTTGGTAAGCCTTATTTGGTTGTCTCTGTTTCTTGAATTGTTTCATTTCGTTAACTCATCCTATTTGGATCTTCGCTTCCCACGTTCTTTTTTCCTTTTCTAAGATTAGTTGTGATGCTCACTCTCACTTCCCATTCCAGCAGACACTGCGTGATTTTGGAATTAGTAAATACAAATACATGAAGGACTCACGGTCACGGATCACTACACGCTCCACTTGATTTTTATGGAGTTGTCAAATCATCAATCACGCTCCACTTGTTTTCTTTTACTTTTTCTTTGTTATAATAAATAATTTAAAGACTTAACTTTTCTTATTCTTATTACGGAGCGAGTGCCTTTATTCTATTCCACCAACCAGTCCAAGCCACCGATACTTAAAGGCTGAACCCCTCCCCTCCGAAGTAATTTGTTCAATTCACATCAATGGAATGGTTCCTTCCAGTTCCGGATGAAGAGAGAGAGAGAGACAGACAGAGAAGAGGGAAAGGGAGAAGAGCTTGAGGAAGTTTTTGGCCATGGGAGGTTTGGCAAGAAATATTTATTATATATTCTACTACTTCAAGTTCTGTTTGAAGTATGTATGTATAAGTAGTTCTTGCCTATTCCTCCCATGCCAATGATTTCCTAACTGGGTTCATCTCTTTCCCTTGCTTTTCTTATATCTGGACAATCGTTTATTTTGTGAAGGAAGTCACATGGAGATGGAGCTCAATTTTTATCAATTTGTTCAACTCATTTTGGCTGGCTTTTTACAAATTCCACCACTGATCACGTTTATCAACAAACTAATAAGTAAGCTTCTTAAGCTTCTTCTATACTAATGACCAAATATAATGAGATACCATTTCTCCCAAAATCAACTCCCACATTGAATTGAAAGGTAAAAGATACGGAGGAAAATATAAATTGAGAACTAAAATATCGATAATATCAAAGAAATATCGAGGATTGGGTTTAGGATTTCACAAAACTCCCTTAGATTTCAAAAATTACACAAAAACACTTTTTGTGGTTTTAGTTTGTTTTTACTCTTCCTTTTTGTTGATTATATTTTTCAAAAATTGAGATTTTATTTAGAAAAATACTTATATAAATGATAAAATTAACCCCAATGATGTATATACAATTTAATTTTAAAGATTAATTTTGTCATCTGGAGAATTTATTTTATAAAATCATCCGTTTTTGAATTTAAAAATAAATTAAAATGAGTTTTGTGTAAATAATTTTTATAATTTCTAAAACCTGAAGGAGTTTTTTAAAAAAGTCAAAAACTTCATAGAGTATTAAGATAAATAACTCAAATTTGAACATTATAGAACCTTTATGTAGTACTAAATTATTCATGTATTTTATTATATAATATATAAAATGTAAAATATTATATAAATTATTATAAATAAATAATAATAATGTGTTTAATTTTTTTCATTAATTATTACGTAAAATATTAATTTTTTATATAATCAGCTTAAATAAATTAAATTCTTTATACATTTTCTTCTAATTTTTTATAAATAAATAATAAATAATTAACCAAATAATCATATTCCAAAGTTTCAAAAAAAAAATTCAAGTTTTCCTTACAATTTTCATATTCATACCTACCGTAGTCCGTGATTGATTCCTTTCTGACATCTCTGTATTAAAGTTGCAATATTTGGGTCGGAAACAGAGTGGTTGTGTGTACATTGACACATAATCATGAGATTGCTTTAACTTTCATTTGGGCTTTTCGAGAAGGGAAACGAATACCCCAAACCCCAAGCAAGCATTGGATTCCAGTCGAGGCGATGACCAAAATCTAAATATGTGGGGTCAAGTCAGTCTGAATGCTCTGCTCTGTTCAGAAACTTTTTTTATTATTCTTTTGAGGAGAAGAAAAATAATAAATAAATAAATATTTATTTATATTTTTCAAATGATGCAGAACGCGTGTTTGATAAGTTTACGCGTCTTGGGATAAGTTTTTTGAAAAATATCAAACGGCAAAGAAGGGTGCTTTGACCGTCCCATCATCCCCATAAAACCCAAAGCCATTTTAAGTTTGGAGCAGATGATGGAACTGGAAACAGGGGTGGGAAAGGCATCGTAGGGTTTAGGAAGTTGTTGGAATGGGCGTGTTGGAAAAGAAAAGACTCAAAAACCCATGTTTCTTTGCCAACCCCGCCCATTCCAAAGATTTTCTAGGCCTGCTGCCTTTCCCTTTCTCTCTTGTTTTTTTCACTAGACAACAGATTCAAACACCCAACATCAAACCAAGCAACTTTCTTCTTGTTTGCTTGCGATATCATGCACACAGAGAGAGAGAGAGAGAGAGAGAGAGAGAGAGAGAGAGAGAGAGAGAAATGAAAGAGAAGAAGGGAAGAGGGGGAAAGGAAGTTGCAGTAGGGAGTTAGGGGAATGGGAGGATTGGGAAAAACATGCACCCCAAGTGTTTGTGAATATTACACAAGGAACACAAAAAGGACTTCTTCCCAAACCTCCCATTCCTATTATTTCCTACAGTTGCTCTCTTTCCCTACCTTTTCCCATTTTGATGCGTCATTATACTCTGTGAGATTGACTTATTACGAGTGAAATATTGATTTGTCTTCTCTTCTGTGTTTTAAAACTATGTTCTGATGTTCATGATCTCATCTTTAGGTGGCTTGGGTGATTCATTAGTGTTCTTCTCCATTTTCTTTGCCCTTTTGCTCGTTTTATGGGCTGGTACTATAGCTAGCAATAACTTATCTTGAAGATGTATTTTGTAATTTGCGTTGGTTTCGTTTTGCAAATTATAAATTTTGTAACTTTTATTTGCATTGCAGATCCTTCAAGTAAATACCGAAAGCGTCGATGGATACCCAGGCCGATGTTTTATGAATTATACAAGTCAAGTGAGCTTAGCTCTGCCGATGGTGATATAGAGCGAGGCAAAAGGGCAGAAAATTAGATATTCGACTCCAAAAAACCCTCACAGGCTTAAGGCTTTTAATGCATAGGTTCAAACGTAAATCTGAGATATATTGTTAACAACAATCAGTGAGAAACGTCTTCGCAGCTCAGAATCAGAAGAATCATCTCCGAATACTTTACTAGGGGTTTTTTAGCACTTCCATCAGTTCCCGTTAGTAGTGTAAATGCGATTTCTTATCCTACTCTTAGCAGCGATTTCTTATCCAAAGGCTCATCTCGACTCTGCATCACCCTTTCACTGTATTAATGAAAAGACCCAATACCCATTGGTGGTGGTGGTGGTGGTGGTCAATATGGAGAAAGAGATCAAAACTATATTTTTTTTATAGATCTGGTTCCAATCCAACCGAAAGGATTACGTAGTCCAAAGATGGCCTAATAGAAAATTTTCATTGGTTTAACTTTTGGTCCAATCAAAAATAAAAGATCAAATGATAATTTTTTTATTTATAAATATTAAACATCTTCTGAGTAATGAAGCTTTAAAAATTAGGTAGGGGTAGGTAAGGTATATAGTACACCAGTTTGGCTTGGCATAAAGGGTTAAAAAAGGAAATTCAAACTACCTTTGTTCGGAAAAAAATTTATTTTTGTGAGGGTTCTTAATTGCTGTGGATTGGTTTTGGAAGATGCGTGGAAGATGGTTCCTCAGATAATATTCAACTTCACTTTTCGTTTCTCGTGTTGCAGAATAACATCTCTCAATTAGATATTGTGCTGCATTATTGGTCTTTTTGTCCACTTGTGTTACATTATTGGTCTTTTCGTTAAATGAATTAATTTTTTTTGTCAAAATTAAATTCAAATTGGGAAATTCATATAAAATATTTATTAGATAAATAAGCTCATTGAAAAAAAACCTAGTCTCCCCATTTGAGCCTGTGGGGAAGGGGTTGGGTGATTAGGGAAGTTGATTTTAGCAGCAAATTGATTTTTGAAGAGGATAAGGAGCTCTTGAGCCACCCAAAGTTGAGCTACACCTCATTGGTTGGTGGCAAAGAAAAACATGCTTATTCATTTGACTATGTCCACATAAAATCCAACGTGGTTTGAAGGGGAAGTGGTTTACATACTAGAGGAGACTTGAAATTTGTCAACAGAAGATGCCGGATTCTTTGACCCCCTGGCATGGTTTGGATTGGTGAGGTAAATGGATGGGCAAATTTCAGGGGAAGAGGATGGCGTGTAGTTGGGTTTGGGTAGAAGGAGGTGGTGTCTATGTAAAAGTCTTATTTACACATGAAATATCCATCATGTGTTTGATATGTGAGTTTTGACGAAAAGACAAACCGAATTAATGGAAAGGAAAGAACTAGTGATGCAACAGAAAGGACTAATGATGCAACGCGACATCTAATTGAAGAACGACCATATCAATTTTGATGAGAAACGAAAACCAAAATCGAGTCTTAGTCAAGTGACTATTGCTACAATTTTGTCCAATAAAATATTATGTAGTGAGGGCGGGGTGAGCAGCTCACAAGTCACAAGAGACACCCCAACCACCCATAGCCCATAGACACATAATAATAATGAGGAAGGTTGAAAAGAAGGATGGGCATGGGAAAGGCTTGAGAAAGTTATTGGAGTGGGAGAGTAGGATGGATCTCTTTAGTTTATTTCAATTTTCAAAGGGAACAAATTTCTTTCCTATTCCAATCACTCTCGCAATTTCCTTAGGTTTATTCCCTTTCCATTTCCTCTTCTTGTTTTTTGTACCCAACACATCGCATCCATAAAAACAAAAGATTTTGCTGTTGGTTCATATATGCGGTTTCCTAGTGTTCTTTTCCCCTATGTTTTCCTTGTTTATTTGTACCAACTAGACTAGCTGTCCAAAACTTGTCTGGGATTTTATTGTCTTCTTAATTATTGGTCCTTATGTTACACCTCACTCATCAATTTGATCCCATCGTGAGATTTCATTAATTTTTTTTGTTAAATTGCTGACATGATACATATGTGGTGCATACATAGTCAATGAGAAAATGTCAAGTGGATCTAAATGACGAAATGTTTTTTTTTTTAAAATAGTTTAACATTTAAAATCTTTTTAAATTTTCTTTTTTAAAATGGAGTGAAAATTTTCGAAACATACATTTTTTTTATTCAAATCCACTATGCATGTTATTAATGGACATGTAGGCTCCACATACATGTCACGTCAAATCCATTAGGTTTTGATGAAAAACCCTAAACCTTTTAAAAAATAGTTTAACATTAATTTCTTTTTTAAAAGACAAAAATTTCAAAACACAACTTTTAAAAAAAAATTCAAATACCCATTGGTGATGGTTGTCAATATGGAGAAAGAGATCAAAACTATTTTTTTTAAAATCTGGTTCCAATCCAAAAAAATAAAAGTTAATAAAATAAAAGTTAAAATGATAATTTTTTATTTATAACTTTTGGTCCAATAAAAAATAAAAGTTAAAATGATAATTTTTTATTTATAAATCTTAAACATCTTCCAAGTAATGAAGCCTTAAAAATTAGGTAGGGGTAGGTAAGGTATAGTACACCAGTTTGGCTTGGCATAAAGGGTTAAAAAAGGAAATTCAAACTAGCTTTGCTTGGAAAAAAATTTATTTTTGGTGAGGGTTCTTAATTGCTGTGGATTGGTTTTGGAAGACGCGTGAAAAGGGAGCTTGGGCACTCCCATCTCCAATATGGGGAATGCTATCAACCTTTTCTCTAATCTTTTCTTTTGAACTTTCTCCCTTACCTCTTGACACGTGTCTCTTTTTTATACTTAAAACTTAAAATCATAATATCATAATATATAATAATTCAGTTGAGTTTTTAAGTTTCGAAAAGTACATTATACTTTACAAGTTTATTCTTTTTATTTTGTTTTTTTTTTTTTTTTTTTTTTTTTTTTTGCACTCTCTCTCTCTCTCTCTCTCTCTCTTCCCCTACGATCAAACTCTCTTTCCCATCTCTCTCTCATATAGAAGTGAGATCTGCTCCATCTCCCTCATATCTAGGGGTGGCATTTTAAACCGAAAAACCGCAAAAACCAACCGACAATTTACCGCAATGAAACCGCAATCGCGGTAAACCGAACCGCATTTGCGGTATTAAGAACCGAACCGCATTTGCGGTATTTAATTTTCAAACTTGCGGTTATCGTAAACCGCAAAGTATAGCCGCACGGATGATGAGGTTGAATTTTACAAGGAAATGGAACATATGACAACTTGTAAGTAATAGTTTATTTATGCTTCTTCTTATAATAAAATGTACTAAACTATGTTGTTTTATTTGTAGATAACATTGATGCTCAAACAACACAACGGGGTTTTTCAAATCCACTCACCACCAACACTTGAGTTTGTAACTTTAGTTTGTAACATTGGTGCATTGCATTTTCCTTTTAGTTTGTAATTTTAATTAACTTTGAATTGGATTTTTCTTTTTGGTTGTAATTTTAATTCATTTTGCTTTGCATTTTCCTTTTGGTTTATAACTTTAAAGGATTGGAATTGGAATGCTTGAGAAGTTTAACTTTAATTGGAATTCTTGGAATTGTAACTTTAATTTTCTTAGGTTGTGAATGCTTGAGAAGTTGAGGAGATTGTGAATTTATATATGCTTGAGAAATTAAGGTTGTGTATTTATTTATTTAGGTTGTGAATTTATATTTTTGTGAATGCTTGAGAACTTGTGGTTTTAAATCGCAAAACGCGGTCAGTTTACGGTTTCAAAAATCACCAAACCGCAAATAGTCGGTCGGTTTACGGTTTGAGTAAAAATTCACGGTTACCGAACCGCAACCACCCCTACTCATATCTATCTCCTCCTCTTGGATCCTTATTTTCCTCATCTATCACATCTATCTTCGCCTCTATCTATGCTTGCTACTTTCTCCACCATATTTTTGGCGACTAGCGAACTGGTCAGATTTTGTTGCTAAGGATGTGCCCAGTGACCCGTCACTGGTGTTCGTAAATTGTGATTGGGTGTGGTTGGAATCTCAATCTAGGGTTTGAAAATGTTTGAAATTGGATTGTTTGGAGGAAATAAATCTGGGGAGGAAGTGATGAGTCAAAGAGGAACTAATTGATGATGTAATATCGGCTCTGTTTCTTTGGATTCATTTGTATTTTCTAATTTTCTCACAATTTTTCATTTAATCAGATTTTTGTTTCAAATCCTTACTTGAAGCAAGCATGGGGAGTTTCATCGTGAAAAGAGAGAGAGAGAGAGAGAGAGAGAGAGAGGAGAGAGAGAGAGAGAGAGGGTGTGCACTGTGCACATCATTTCTAATTTTTAATTTTTTATAATAACGGTAAACTTGTAAAGTAAAAGTCAACTTGTATGATATATTAATGGCATTGTTTAAAGTGTAAAAAGAGAGACACATGTTATGAGATAAAGGGAGAATGTCCAAAAAAGAATGTTAGAAAGAATATTGCTAGCATTGCCCTTCCAATATATAGGCAAAACTGAAGTAATGGTTCCTCAGATAATATTCAACTTTACTTTTCGTTTCTCGTGTTGTAAAATTTGTTATTACCATCCGTCAATTAGATATCATGTTGCATTATTGGTCTTTTGGTCAACTTGTGTTGCATTATTGGTCTTTTCGTTAATTGAATTAAATTTTGTTGTTAAAATTAAATTCAAATTGGGAAATTCATATAAAATATTTATTAGATAAATAAAACTCATTGAAAAAAAAAACCCAGTCTCCCCATTTGAGCCTGTGGGGAAAGGGTTAGGTGATTAGGGAAGTTGATTTTAGCAGCAAATTGATTTTTGAAGAGGATAAGGAGCTCTTGAGCCACCCAAAGTTGAGCTACACCTCATTGGTTGAAGGCAAAGAAAAACATGTTGATGCATTTTACTATGTCCACATAAAATCCAGCATGGTTTGAAGGGGAAGTGGTTTACATACTAGAGGAGACTTGGAATTTGTCACCAAAAGGTGCTGGATTCTTTGACCCATCTGGCATGGTTTGGATTGGTGAGGTA